CTCTCCGTACTTAAATTAAATTTGTTTCATTATGCAAAGTCTGAATTTTCACCCAAAAAGCAAAATGAAAATTAAAAAAAGCAAACATTAGATACGGTATAGTTCCACCCACAGGGTTGGGATGCATATCTGTATTATTTCTACTTGGAACAAACAAAAACAAAAAGAAAATTAAGCCACCCTACGATTGTTTTAAATATTTTTCTGGTTGGCTGGAAACAGAATACATATCATTTTTGTTTTTTTTCTTTTTTTTTATTTTTGCTTTATTTCACTTTGTAGCTTGTAGGCACAATTTTCTTTACTTATTAGAGGATCAAGTTTCCATTTGAGGAAAAACAAAAAAAAGCAAAATAATGTGCAGGAATAGTAAAGGAATAATAAAAAGAATTACGGGTATAAAGATGCCACAAGGAATTCTGCACCTGGGAAAAGTGGAGCGTGTGAATACCGGAGAGGCATCTCGAGGCTCTAGACTGGTGACGGGAATTCCCACCTCCATCTCTCACACCACGCCTTTACTTCGGTCTTTCAGTAAAGCATTTTAACACCGCTCAAATAAAACGAGCACAGATGAGAAATAGGATCCTCCTTATGGAGGGAACGTTGCTTTATGCCTTTTGTAGGGAAGCATACAGCAGAGACAACTTGATGAGCGAAGAAACACGAAGAACGAAAACGAAGCAGAGGTTTAAAGACATGCCGGCATTCCGACGCTCATCTACGCAGTCAAACAGGTTACAGGTGCAGAATTCCAGACGAAGCGGACTCGACGGGATCAGGACTACAACAGCCACACCGTCACACACCACATAGAGGAACGACGCCCCTTACATCCAAATACCTCCGTTACACACGCGCTCACACACATTCACTGCAGAATGAAACCATCGGCATACTTGGAAGGCCGGCAATAAAAAAAGTTCTTACAGGTATCGATGAGGGCAAATACTCCACATGCCGGTTGCTGCATGCGCGTTTTTAACATGAGTTGGTTTACAAGCGTGTTTCGGATGAGATTCCCTTAAACCCCGCCCCCCTGATGCCTACTGGGATGGGTTGTGTATTGCTCAGTCGATGACACCAGGCTGGCGAGTCTTGCGTTCCACGCTGAAGCCCTGCACACAAAAGCATTGGGATCAAAAACGGTCCACGTTTAAAACAAGTCGACTGGTCAGGAAGAAAAAAGTAAAATGTTGCGAGTAGTTTGGATTTAAGCCAACACGGGGGTACCTTAGAGTTGTCGGGACCACGGGGCTGCCTCACGATGACCAGACGAGGAGCGCTGGCGTCGTCGAGAGTGATGCTCTTCAGGCGGTTGACCAAACGGTCGGGACGTGGCGTCGCCACCGGTTTGGGCCCCTCGCTGTTACATCACATGTTAGCATTAAGATATTTGAACCGTTTGGCTAATATTCACGCCATCCTGCGGTGGGGACGGGTCGTACCTGACTCTGCGCACGTTGCAAGCGCTACATTTCCCCGTGCGCTGATTGAAGACGACAGAGAATTCCACTTCATCCCCGGTCTGAAGCTCCACGCCGTCCTGCACTTCTTTCACGTGGAAGAACAGCTTCTTGCTCTCACCCACTTCATAGGTGATGAAGCCAAACTGGGAGCACCGAAGAGAATCAGGAATGAAATGTTTGAATCTGCATGGCAGGACGGATTTGGCCATTTGAGACCATTACCTGGTCTTTGACACACTCCACTGCCGCTCTGCGCTGAGGGACAACGTTACAGGCCATCTTCTGGCCCGTCTGAGTGACGGTGCAAACCTGGAACTTCACGTGTTCTCCCTTCTGCAGACAATCTGCCTTGTTCGTCATTCCCATGATTCCAAAGGGATAGGTCGGCCCTTTCCCACCACCTAGAGGGGCAAATATTTCTTAAATCTTCCCTTAAATGGAGCGGCGAGTTAAAAAGCTTAGCAACTAGACACCAACCTTCTTCTGTGACTTCAATCAGCCCTTGGTACTCGGTCTGCGAGGGGTCCACGCTGCGTATGGGACGGATGACTTTCCCCGTCATCACGGATGCATCGACATCCTCACCAGCACCATTCACTAAAGCGGGGAACAGTTGATCTCAGTTCCATCTAAAAACTCCAACTCCACGATGATTAACCAACGATAAAACAAACCTCTGGAGTCGGCAGCCATCTTGGTAACCTTCTCAGCACTGACTTTATTTCCTTTTCCCTTAGAGAGCGTGTACTCCACGGAGTCACCCAGATCCAAGTTATCCACATCGCCACACATTTCACTGACGGGAGAAAGGGGTGAGTTTCTGCACATCGCACCAGCTGAAGACACCACCGGGTCCAAACCCGTTTTACCTGTAGTGGAAGAAAACCTCCTGGTCGTGATTTGCTGTTTCGATGAAGCCAAAGTTATCTTTGAGGGCAGCGACGAATCCCAGAAGCCTCTTGGAGTTGGAGTTTGCGTTGCGGTTGAGGATCCTGATGGCCACGGCGCTCTGCTGGCCAGTTCGCTTCACTTCACTGATTGAGAACTCCACCTTGAGGACAAACAGTTTCAAGTTTCACCGGCGTGAAAAAAATCTGCTGAATTAACAGAATAAAATACAACTTTCCTGTTGGTAACATAATCTGAGTCACTCTGCTACCTTATCTCCAGCCTGAGGGTAGCTTCCTCCCTCCAGATCCTTGGTGTGATACGGTATAGTGATCTTCTCTCCACAGTCTTCATAGGAAATCACTCCTTCCTCCACTTCCTAAAGGGACGGAGAGAGATGAAACAGTGGAACAAGGTCTCCAACAGGAGATGAGTCACGTGTCTCACATCAGACCGATTCAGGAGGCTCGAGTTCGAGTGAATCAGAAGACTTTGTGCTTTAAAAGTGTCTAAGATGCTAATCTAGAGCAGCAAAGCTGGTTAGGATTACCTGCATCAGCTGGGTTAGAACCTGAAACACAGGACTGCACAGTTTAAGCCGTTACTACCAACACTAAGTCTAGTTAGAACTACATTTACACTCCTAAACAGAGACGCACCGAAACCAGAAATGAGGAAACAAAGGATGAATGACGCGCTCCCTGCAACGTTCCAAAAGTGCAGCGGTGTGTTTTAATGGCTTCATTTCTGGCAGCGGAGGGGAACATCATGACTTTAAACAGCGACATTTAATGTGATTCCTTCTTGGTTTAATGGGGGAAACCGTAATCTTTGAAGTAATCTTTGAAGTCTCAAGGGATCTTGTGATCTTGCGAATCCGGCGAAGACCAGAGCAAGGAAGCCATGCCACGGCAAAGACTCTCCTGGTGTCAAAAGGACCGCTTTGAGGTTCGCGGGTAAACCGTTCCGCTGCCGTTTCACACCGCTGATGCCTCCAGTGTAAAACCGGGTCACTAAAATCAAGGCGTTGCAATAAATCAACTGAAAGGCCTGCTGAGGAAATTATATAAATTAATTAATTAATTTGGCGTTTTGGGCAAAAACCAAAAATGCACTTTGGGCAATTTTCAGCCGAAAACTTTCAGTGCCTCCTTACGCCTACATCAAGTTTAATGAAAGTATCAAAATAGGCACCGATGTAACGGAATAAATATTTGTTCCTTTTTATTTGAATGCAAAACGATTATTTACACCCGTAAAGACTGAACCACGCTGGTTTGGTCTGAACTGTGCAGCCCTACTTCTGGGATTCATTCCAAGGATTACTTGCAGATCACAACCATGCTGTCAGCCACAGAAAAACAACAACAACCAACAAAAACAAACCTTTTCCACAACTTTCCCCTTGAGAAAAAAAAAAAAAATCAGAGAAACGGCATCAGACCAGGTTAGACGTGAGGTTTATAGATGTACAGATGCTAGATCAGACCAACATCTGACCTTTGACCTGCTCGGGTCAGACATGAAAACGCAAGCGCTTCTTAAAAACAAACATTAGGCCAGCTAAAGGTTGGTATTCAACTACGTTTCTGTAGACGAGGACTAGCTTCGTCTGTTACTCGTGAAGCCTCATGCAGGTCTCAGGCCTACCTTGTCTTTTTTCTAACCGTAAGAGAAGCACGAGGAGGAGCAGGAGGAGGAGGTCATTGAAGAGGGGAAAAAACCAACATTAGAACTAAAACAGTTGAGGAGGGACGGGAAGCCAAAGGGAACGTTTATGTGGACTAAAGTGAAGTTTCTGTACCTTCTCCTTGCCCTTGACTGGACTTGCACTCTTGTTCGAGGCTCCGATGACCTCCTTCTCCACCACACCCACAAAGCGCTGCTCAGACTGTGTGTGAAAGGACACGGTTCCTTTGGGAAGCTTCTTGATGCGCACAGCGTGGTTCCTCTGAGCCGACAGCATATCCTGAACATCACATTTACTTTAGTTCCTCACTGACAGATTTCCAAAATGTGCTCAGGGTAACAATAAAAAAACAGATGATACATACTTTTGTGAAAAGCTTAACAGAACCTACAGGCACAACAGTGAACTCCACTTCATCTGAGATATGCAGCTGGGTCTCCTCCAGGACCTCGCTGAAGTGAAAGAACATTCTTGCATCTCGATCCACGCACTTGATGAAGCCGAAGCCGTCTCGCATCGCTGCGATGACGCCCTAGATCAGACGGATCGAGGATTAAACAGCGATCTTCTGCATTTTACGGTTTCACGGCTCAGATAAGAAAAGAGTTCTGACCATTTCACGAGTCTCCTTGGTGAAATCGAAGGTGTCTGGGAGGATTTCGATGTTGGTAGCCCTCTCGAGTTTGTCTCTGCGGTCGGTGGAGATGTTAAACTGAATGTGATCGCCCTCCAGCAGCGTCACCTTAGACTTTGTGTCCTTCTCGCCAAAAGGCAGCTCCTTTTCTGTGAAACCGATCCTCGCGCTGATGCGACCGGGCAGAGGATCGTTCTGCAGAAACAAAGGACGAGTTTGAGTTTCCAGCTGTTTACCTTCATTGTTTTTTAGATTTTCCGTTTAACCTCCTCACCTGATTTTTACTGGGAACCTTGGGAATAACTTTAACGACGGTGCCTTCAAACTGCTCGATGCTGATGTCCTCAAAGATAACCGTTCCTTGTGGGAGGAGCCTCACATCTGTAGCTACTTCTTTGCCCTACAGAAGGACAAAAGTACAAACAATGAAAGCAAAGCACTCAAAGATGCGTATAAGAGGGTCTATTCAAATCTAACGGCCTCTCATGTAGAAAGCTGAAGAAGTGAAACAGTGCTGCCAAGATTAGCCACAAACACATCAGTTCAACTCAGAACTGCTGCCGTACCTTCCACTGCCCTCGACACACACGTGCAGGAGTGGCATTCAGGGTAAGCCGTGGCACCGAATGAAAAGCCAACAATTACGGCGAGCTGAAAACGGAGTTCAAGCGTTTGGGAGCATTTTGGAAGAATTCAAGAGGAACGTGCAAAATCTGCAAAGTAGAACCTGCCTTCCGTGGCAGAATGACGGCGATGCACGATCATCTTCAAAACGAAGCACGTCGTGGCCGCCAACGGAGAGCAAGAGTCGCCTCTTTTGGCTAATTTGCTAGCTAGCTGCTAGCATGAACAGTGAGCTACTTCCTTGCACCAATAGCGGCAACATCAACAGTAATGACTGATGTCTTTACCCTACAAACACTAGCGCTGCGTTAGTGTTTTACAAAGCATTGCTCCTCATTGGTCAACCTTGGTGCCAACAGCCAACACGTATTTTTTGCTAAAGCCCAGCGACTTGTTTTCCTTATCTATGAGTTTAAATACTCATTAAAACCTGTCGATGCTCTGATCTTTATTTATAGACAGCATAGAACCCCAAGTTAGCAGCTGACGCTGGTTATCAGACAGCAGCAGCGTGTTGAAGAGATAAGCTAGAACCTTTGCGTGACCCCATCGGCTATCAAAAAAGCGTTTGCGGCAGGCAGCCCTTCTTGACATTTACATTTCTGTCTTTGATGGTGAACTCCACATCATCTCCAGCCTGAAGAGCCTCCAGATCCCCCTTGAACTCGCTGTAATGAAAAAAAATCTCCTTCACCACATCTGCCCTCTCGATAAACCCGAAGGCCTCCTGAAAGACAACACAGGGCGCAACACAATCTCTTTCAACGCTCCTGTTACCAAAACCAACATTTGTTTACTTTAGAATAAAGATGAACCCACCTTGGTAGCACACACCACACCCTGGCACCTCGCCTGCTTTTTCTTCACCAGCTGAATATTACGGGCGCTCACTGCACCGGTACTGAAACGAGCAAACCATTTAAATACAACAGAGCGTGCTGCTGTGACACACAAACGCCGCACGCCGACTTACTGCTTATTGGTTTCCATGTAAAAGCTGACTTTGTCACCCGTCTCCAAGTGAGTGTTACCCTCCACATCATCAGGAGTATAGGTGAGATAAAACACTTCCTGTAGAAAGGAGAACAGCACCAGATAACAGACGTTTGAGAGGATTTGGACAAATGATCAAGAGTAGAAGGACTGAAGTTTACTCTTTCAATTAAAGTTTATTTATATAGCGCCAAATCACGACAAGAGTCGTCTCAAGCCACTTCACATAATAAACATTCCAATTCAGGTCAGTTCATTAAGCCAATCAGAAATAATGTTTCCTATATAAGGAACCCAGCAAACTGCATCAAGTCACTGACTAGTGTCAGTGACTTTACAGCAATCCTCATACTAAGCAAGCATTTAGCGACAGTGGAGAGGAAAACTCCCTTTTAACAGGAAGAAACCTCCAGAGGATCCTGGCTCAGTATAAGCAGCCATCCTCCACGACTCACTGGGGATCGAGAGAACACACACACACACACACACACACACACACACACACACACACACACACACACACACACACACACACACACACACACACACACACACACACACACACACACACACACACACACACACACACACACACACACACACACACACACACACACACACACACACACACACACACACACACACACACACACACACACACACACACACACACACACACACACACACACACACACACACACACACACACACACACACACACACACACACACACACACACACACACTCTTTGGCGTCAAGCTCACGAGAATCCGTCTCTTACCCCGTTTCTTTCATAGCAAACGCTGCCAGTGGGCACCTGGCCGGGAGCAGACTTCCCATCCAAATGCACGGGGATTGATGAAACAACCTGCAGTAAAGGAGAACGGCTTTAACACGCAGACGTGTCTGTTTCAACTAAACATCCACTAAAGTCACAAAACAAATAAATTCTTATTGTCGTGATGAATGAGATGGCAGACAGGTACCGTAACTTTAGGATAAGCCCAGGTTTGACCACATTTCAGCACAGATTAGACTCTAGCGAGGGTCGTATATTTGATGAACAAGTTTAGTGTCCATCAAACCTGCTCAAGCACACATTTGATCAAATCTGTTTGGACTGGGAGCCTCAAACACAAAACCAATAAGAATTCATGCGGGATTAAAGGGAAATAAAGTTGACAGACAAGGACAAAACCAAAAATAAAATGGTGTTCCTTAACTGGATGAATATAACCATGCAGCACAGTAAAGGGATAGACGTGCAGGTCTGACCCCACCTGGCCCGAGATGCGCTCCTCTGGCAGCACTTCTGGCTTTATCTTTAGCAGCTTCACTGCTATGGGCTTGCCAGTGCGCCTGTCAGAGGACACCTCAAACTCTACATCATCTGGTGGGAGAGAAAACAGCCAACAATTAGCTTTGAAACAGGCATTTAACAAACAACCCCCCCCCCAGCCATACGCAACACTTCTCACCTCCAACTTTAAGCTCCTGCAGGTTGCCATTGTACTGGGAGCAATGGAAAAAGAGGCGAGCCTGACGTTCGGAGCACTGGATGAATCCGTATGAAGCCAGGAGCTTCTCCACCACACCGGTCTCTCTAATGCCAGGCCCGGTGCCGTTGGCGAATGCGGTGTGACCGTTACTATGGAGCATGCCTGGGTCGAAACTCATCTAGAAGAGGAGAGGAGAGTTTTAAACAGATTCAGCAGCAGATCAGCGTGAAGCTCACAACACAGCGGGTGGGGGAGACGAGAGTTCACGGCAAATTCATCTGAAGCCAAACTTAAAAACTAAAACATGCAGCTGCTGCAGAACCCAGGAGGATAGGATGATAAAACAAAATGCAAACGAGCCTTCTGGGGATCTCTCATCAATAGTCAACACATTTTAGGAGTGAACTTAAACCTATGTTAGCCTACAAACCTGAAACCTTCAAGGTCAAATCATGCCTTAAAAACAGCAATTCACCCAAAACTGTTGATATTTTAAAATCCTAACAAGGTGGAACTTTGCAAAGCATCATGCGCCTCCTGATGGAGTAGTGTACGTTCCTCTGACTCACAACCAAGTGACAATAATCTTATTTAACTATAATATGTAAAAACCCATGCGGTTAGAGGTAAAACCACACCAATCAGCTCAGAGAGCCACTCAGTCAGTAAGAGCTGCGTCTCGTCTTACGGATCTCTGATACAAGGGGCTCCGCTTGTATTTTTTACTTCCTTGGTGAGGATGGCAAGAGACAGAGGAGGATCGGGGAATGTGAACGGGAGCAGTGGAGGTATTCGAGGCTGAGCCAGTGCTTCGAGCAACTGGAGGTTCAGAGGAGCCTCGTTCCATTTTTAACACAGGAGACTGGGCCGGGACAGGCTGTTGGAAAAGGCAACAGCTTCAAAATGTAACCGACTCAAAGCTTTGAATGGTTTTTACTTTAATTACCTTACATTTTTAATGTTTCTCAATGTCAAGGCACCTTACTCAGGAGGACACCGTCCTTCCTCGGTTAAAGAAAACGGTTAAACGGAACAGACTTGCAACACGTGACCGCGGCTTCCACGTAACGGCACGTGACACGAGAGATAACGTTATATTTTATACGTAGTAGTTTCAACATAAATATATAACAAGGTGTTTCCTTTTTAAATTGTTTAGATGTTTGTTATAATTAAAAATATAATTGAGTTACTACCCGCTAGCCACCGAAGCTGCAACTACTAAGCAACTAACCAACCATAAATAACTGCTTTGGGAATTTTTTTTAAGTAGTTGACTTACATTTAAACTTGAAATTTACCCCAGAAGTAGCTGCCGGCTTCTGATCCGCCATCCTTTTGAAAATACTGCGGTGTATTCTGGGTAATTTTTGACCAAGGCTAGGCTACAAGACACCTCCCGTGTATCCTTGCTCAGCTAGCTGAACGGCTAACAAACGGAGAACAGACACCTCGGTAGACATGAACATTGGAACACGTCTGTTTACGTATCTCCTAGGCAACCGGGACTGGGACAAGACATCAAGACAAGGTTCTTTAGCATTGAGAAACGCCCTTGGACACCCAAACCTTGATGCTTTATGCCACAACGTCCAACTGATGTCCCCAACTTTACACAACCTCTGTATGCCAGCTCCGTATTAAAACAAGTCACATGTTTTATTAGAGAATGAATTAATTAATATATTTGAATATCACAAAAACCTTAATGAGTGTACAACCTCCAAACTGAGTTTTTTAGCACCCCTTCTAAAAAGATATAAAATAAAAACCTCCATTCAAACGGAAAAAGGAACTAAAATTAGCTCTTGGCACAGCCAGCTGAGGCGAGAACAGGACTGGAGATGGAGACGGTTTGAACAGCAGGTATCTACAGGTGGACAGAGCTGGTGATGGATTATGGGTAATGAGGGGGATCCCAGAGCAGCCTCTGCTGTTAGACCCTGTTCTGCTCTATCGAAAAACGCAACTTTTAAATAAAAAACGCAAAAGGTAGGAAGCTTTTCTAAAGTTTTACACTTTATGAAGTAATTTCTTTTTTGGGCTGATGGGAAGGTGAGTTATGTAACCAGGCTTCTCTACCGGACGCGTAAGCATTGCGTTATGTCCATAAAGCATAGTTCACAGCAATTAGCCATCATGATAACGAATGGGTGCACTTCCACCAGCACCGCGTTTCGAAAGAGTCCCAGAAGCGGGGGGGACGCGTCACGTATGACACATTTTTAACACGCTGTGCCTACAGAGTCAGGCCAGACAAGAACATGAGATCTGTGTTAAACATCTCAAAACTTTCAAAATAAAGTTCCAAGCAGATTTCCAGTTGCTTAAAGAGCAAGTCATTCCCAAATGAACTTTGTTTTGCTGATAAACTATATAAATGTGTGTAATCGTGCTTTAGACACGTGTAGTCAATTATTTGTCACTTTAGTGCATCTTAGTAAAAACTTAAATATTCTGCCTTAAACTCGTTGTTGTGCCCTCTTCAGGTGAAAACTTTGCACTGCATTTGAATTTAAATCTGATAACGCTATTGGCTAAGAAGTACCATATGATGTCACAATGCCGTTATGAGCCTGTGTGTGTGTGTGTATTTGTTAGCAGCACCGCCCCCTCGGTCTGCCAGGCAACAGCATTGCATTGTACAAACAGGAAGTGGGAGTGGAGTAAGACTCGGGCAGGGGGTGACTTGCTCTTTAACTAGTTAAAAAAAAAAGGTATGTAACTACCAGTGAAACCTCTGGCCAAGGTAAACTGAACAGACACCAGGGATCATTTTGGTTACATGCAGCCATCTTTCTCTGTACTGGTTCTCATGAGAATTTCAGAAATGACACGTGACCAACTCTCAGGTCATTTTGCGACCTTGCAGAACCAGCTGTGTGAAACGTTCCCAGTGGGAAGAGAAATTGCAGATTAAGTGTATTACATTACACTCTGCTTACACATCCAGTAGAAAGCCAGGGTTAGGGTTTAATTTGATAAGAGAAAATAAAGACTCTCCAGCATCAGTGAAATAGCCTTATAGCTACACTCAAACAACCCTCACCCTGCAACGATGTAACTGAGTAGAGGCTAGTCTCGGGAGCCCGGTGGTAATGGAAGATTAGGCCATTCACAGCAAAGATGCAGGGCTGGGTGGATGGGTGCTCAATGGGGTAGGGCTCGCAGAAAATGGGCAGGAAGGCGAAACTTACGGATCGGCCATACGGTGACAAGCTGAGTCCGACGGGGGAGGTGCTGCTCAGGTCAGCGCTAACAAACGCGGTAGGTGGTGACGCAGGCAAGGTAAACTCAACAAAGCCTTTCCAGGGGCTGCCCATATTTTCCCATAAACTCCAACCAAACTTGCTTGCTTGAGCACTTGCTGAACTTGATTACTGGTTTGAATTTTTTGCTGGACTTAAGACAAAAAACGGTTACGCAACCACCCAATGATACACTGCTGGATGTCTGCAAGGGTGAAGAGAGGAACAAACATAATGGACAATGAAGATAGGACAGCCAGTGTGCCAAGTGTCACAAACACAGGAATTCAGCTGTCAATTCAGAGGAGGAGATGAAAAGGCAAAAGATTTAAAAAGATGACTCAAGAGTAGAAAGGGTGTCAATTTAGCTGTGGAAACGCAATCTGATCAACTAAATCAAATCACCGGTTTAGAAACATTGAAGGGATGGTGACTGTTTAGTTCAGCTCAGCTTGCTTATTGGAAAAGTCAAGCCTAGTTTATACTTCTCCCATCTGACGAGACGCAGCTTCATTATCCGTTGACGCAAGAACTCTCCAAAAGGCACGCAAAGACGGATGAAGAGCCCATTTTTAAACTATCCGCCAAACGCAAGTCAGTTATTTAAAAAATAGAGATTTTATCGTTGGCTAGAGAAGTCACTGAAATGACAGGTAGACCCACCAGAACATGTCTACAGCCTCTGCTGTCCTGGCAGAGAATTGCTTGGCAACACTGACACACAAAGTAGTATGAAAGTAAGATGTTTCTGTCAACACATGCTAGTTTAAACTTTGACAGAGAAGCATAAACTAGGCTTTAGAGAAACGACAAAAATCAGATGTTCAACAGTATGACCGGAAGTACAAAGAGCAGCTAATTTCTGACTAAACGCTAGCAGCTGAACTGATGTTCCACGTTGTGCTTAAGAGGCAAAGTTTGAGTGCCGCCTTAAAAATGGATCTTAAAGCTAGAAGTCAGAACACAGTTTTAAAAGCTTGCAAACACACAGGTACCAGACAGCTATACACTTTCATCTAGTGCACCAAAACCTAAGCACTGAAGCCAGTGTTACACAACCAGTTTTGACATTTTCTAAAAAGTTTATCATTTACAGTTTTTCCTTTAAAAACAACACCGAACCCTTTTATGAAGTCACAAATATTATGGCTGAAATGCAAAAAAGCCTTTCACATGATGAATCTTGTTCTATGAAAGGAAAATGACTGAAACTCACCTTATTTGTTGACTTTTGTCTTTTCAATAACTAGGCTCTTGATCACTTTGCAGACTTCTTCTCACACACACATACATACATACACACACACACACAGCTAACAGGTTTCTGGCTCAACTTCTAGGTGGTTGCATAAAGTAAAAAGGGGGGAGAGATCTAGCACATGAAAGGCAATTGCAGGTGCAACAACACTGTGCAGAAAACTTAAGAAATACAGAGGGAGAAGAGGAAGAGGGTGGGAGAGAGAGAGGGGAACGATGGGAGGGAACTAGCAGATAGCAACCAACTCCACACCCTGGAGGTGAGTCGGCAGCGTAGTAAGGATGAGGAGGGCTAGGAGCAGCGTTGGGACGTGTGCTTTGTCAAAGCTGTTGAGTAGGCACAAACTTCTGGTTTCAGATCAGTTAGCTTCTCAAAATATGCTTGGGCATAGGATTGCTTCTCGTCTGTGTTGCAGTTGGGCAGGTGTGCGTGTTCTTTGGTCGTTTCAGGATTTGGTTACTCGTGTTTTTAAATCCTTGAAGTGATCCTGTTCCTCCCACGTTATCTTCGGAGTTACTGCTTTTGGAAGGAGGTTTTTTCTTTCTTTCTTCAGTTCCTTTGTTTTGATCTGAACTTGAAGCAGTTGCGGATGGTACAAAAATTCAGTTCGGCTTCACTTCATACTGTTGGGGAGAGAAAGCAGCTCTGGTTAGATAACCCTCTTCTTTGACAATGGACACACACTCAGTTTGCACCACAGGAAAAAGGGGCGAGTCCCAAGAGAAGCTGCAGAAAAATACAAAAACTGACCACCTGCATCTATTCTGTAAACAAAAACCTCTTGATAAAGGCAAAAGGGGGCTGATTAGTAGGGATGCACAGATACTGGTATTGGTATCGGTACCAATACCAGTATAGGTATCGTTAAAGTTAATCAATACCAGAAACCGATACCAATACAGTTGCTTAAATATGGCTTCACTGTAACTTGTCATTTCTGTTCACCTAATATTTTAGTTTTGTTATGATTTCCATTCATATATTTTACTTTTTATCTACCTCACAGTCTTTTCCTGTTGAAAGCAGAGAAGCTTTCTGGAACTGCGCTGCTCTGGGCGGCTGCATGTTCGAGTAGCTCTGTTGACTATATGTAAGTTTTGCCTTTTGTTGGGCAATTTTTCTTCCAGTTTCTCAAGAAAAACTGTATTTTTGGACACTTTACTTTTCTGTTTCTGGTGCTGTGAAGCGTGGAGGATTTTTACTGCAATTTGTTATGATGCGTAACCATGGCAACAAGCTGGTTTACAATCGGGAGCAGCTGATTAACATTAGAAAGGCTGAAATAATACCTCAACTGAAGCCACAAATCCCAAATGAGATAAAACACAAGAAGCGTGGGTGCAGAGCGGGAGCAAAACTGAGACAGAGAAAGAGGAAATTCAAACCATCTCTTCCATCGATCATAATGGGCAATGTGAGATCACTGGCCAAAAGATGGAGGAACTCCAAGCCCTTTCAAGGACTCAGCCAGAGTTTCAGCAGTTTCGGAACCGCTGGAGGAGATGATGCAAAGAAGGATTCTCCAGAGAATCAAGAAAATGATGGACAACCCTGAGCATTCTCTTCACAAGACTGTCCGACAACGGAAGAGTGTCTTCAGTCAGAGGCTTCTTCAGTTTGGCTGCAACACTGACCGCTTTGATGACTTTATTATTATTATTCTGAGCTACTACAGCAATCAATTTCCCTCTGGGATTAATAAAGTATTTTTGAATTGAAGAAAATAAAATTTGTATTCCAAATCATTGCATTTTTTTGTGGTAGAAGTATCGGTATTGGTAATCGTATCGGAGAGCACTTGGATCCAAGTATCGCTATCGTATCGGTCTGGAAAAAAGTGGTATTGTTGCATCCCTACTAATTAGCTAGCGTTGACTATTTTTTGATACATACCACAACAAGGCCCTCTGTTTTGCACATTACTACTATTTGGAACCAAAAAGAAAATTAATTTGTGTATCTTGTGTAGAGCTGGGCGATAGAACAGCAACAATATATAATTCAAAATCCTCTCTCGGTAGACATGAGAACGAGTTGATAAAAACCTCGATATAAAGAACAGCTTATATTGGTGTTCCGCGATGGACCAATCGTTGGCTGGAATAGAGCCGCAAAGCACAATGACAAAAGTGCTGCTAATGTTTGCGTCGCTTTAGCTTGTTACCATAGCTAATTGGTAGGATGTTGCCGTAAGCCAGGTAATTAAAAGGATAGGACACAGTGAATGTCATGAGAAAAAAAAAGAGCCCAACAGTTCAGTTATGTGGACAAGTGGCAGCTCGTCCATGGGGGGGGGGGGGGGGGGGGGGGTGCTAGGGCGACCCAGCAGTCTCACAGGAAGAAGATGGAATTACTATCAAAACATGAAAATTAAACTAAAACGATCTACACATCACAGACGATAAGTGCTGTGTATAATCTGCATCTAAATGAAGTTTAAAAAAATCTTACATATTACGTACTTCCTGTTCTTTTCGAGCACAGCAGTCTTTAACAGAGCTAAACACGTTGGATCCCCTCAAATGCAAAGAATAGAAGCACCTTTGGTCGCAGAAGTTTAAACCAAAACCGAGTGGAGTGTCAGCTCAGGATGTTTGCCTGGAACCAGAAACTCTCCACAGTTCAGTTTTTTAATAACTATTTTTAACTCACCATTCTTTGTTTTAGAGTAAACGAGTACAGGTAAAGGTAAGCAAAGGTAAGACTTGATTTATGATTCTGAGTTTATGAAAGTAGCTTTGTTTTGCTGCAGCATTGCTCCGTGACTTTTGCAGGTTGAGTAATGGTGCTTAAATTGTAAAGAGGATAGGATCATATTGCATTGTTGCTACTGTGTCTTTTGTTGGCCTTTTTATTTAGCGACATTGCGTGTTGAGGTACAAAACGTAGATTTAATTGTAAGAATGGTAATTTGGCACCCCCTAGTGGTGATATTTCGCTAGAACATCTGAAAACAAAAGGGCATAAATGTGCCCTGCCGAAAAAATGTAACTAATTCACCAGCTGCCACTGATGTAGACATATTTTGGCTAGCTAATGTCAGATAAGCTGCACCACAAATGATGTTGAGCACAGGTTTTGACTAATTCAGGGAGAACAACTGATCATTCTGAAGCAGCAGAATGCAAGACGTTAAAATCCCAGATTACAGAAAGTGTGCAAAAATAAATAAATCTTTAAAATGATAACCTTCTGATCTCTTTGAATCTCACCTAAAAGCACCATTTAGTATGAAACACAGTCAAATAGTACGGATTTGTTTTCTTTTTTAAACAACCTAGATTTTTTGATCGTGATAGTGATAAGATGTTTTTCTAATCGCCCAGCTCTACTCTTTCATGAAATTTAGTTTCATTAGAAACAACAAGTAGGTTAGAGTAGAAGGTTGTTGACCCAAATACGCTGCTCTGTAAACAAGCTGCCGGAGTCCTCCTGCGACACATGATCCGCTGCTGTCAATGTGTTGCAATGAGTCAGTTTCCCATCCCGGAAGGCCACAAGAAGAGGTGGTCACAAGCCTCAGCTGAGTTTACACATTAAAAAGCAAGCAAAAAGCAGGCAAAAACCACAACAGCATAAAAAAAAAACTTACTTCCAGATAAATTTCAAGTGTGGTAAAGACTAAGTTCCCCCCCTAGGAAAATATTTTATGGGATAATATGTGATTTCAACACAGGTAAACAAAACAAAAAAATACTTCCACTCATGATACAAGCAGTTTCTAATCCGTGTACCACTGTTTTATGAAACAGCATAAAACAGGCAAAACATGCCAGTTAAGTACCAGTGACCCTGATGATGTCTGAGCAAGAAAGAGCATTGCTTTGCCAGGGCCAAGCATGTGACTTCCTGACAATCCGCTATTCTCAGCTGGAAGAGTCAAAGTGACCCGAGCAATTGTGCTGAACACCACGATAAAAAGCGTTTCAATTTTAATTAAAAACTCGTCACAAACCCAGAAATTAAAATACACATCCATAATGAGTAAAAAAACGAGCATAATGGTGAATAAAACCTGACTAAAATAAAATTATAAACGCCTCAGACTTCTAAAGAAACGTTGCTCAGGCTACAATGCCACGTATTCTTCATTTGATTTTAATAAATGATATATTGATACTTTCGAAAAAATATAAACAAAGATGCTTTCTTTCAAGAGACGTACGTCGTATAAATTGGTAATTGTAATTATTTGGAAAACTCAAGAATAAACGTAAAGGTCCAGTTTAAGGTGTATCGTTAAGAAGTAGGTTGGCACATTTGCGACATCATCCAGCTGAAACAAATGCAAAAACCAAAATGGGAATTAGATCAAGACCAATTTTAAATCCGAAATTTGTCAGACGGCTAATCAAGTCCGATACAACACACATGCGCTAAAACGTGTTTGATTTCCTAACAGATCGAGGGTAAACGAAGAAAACACCGCGGCTAACGGCACGAGGATGATGGAAAACAAAGAAACTACCTACAAAGCTCGCGTCTACAAAAGTTGTGCACCAACTAGAAACGTCTTAAGTGTTAGATTGGCCAAAGTAGCATGTCTTCGGTACTTTAGACACGTCAAAGAAACGCCAGCTTGCTATTTAACCGTCGCTCGGTCGTTTGGAACGTTAGCTCGTTAGCCAGAGCACGCTGCTGTGGCCCGAGAAAAAACAAGGCATCCCCACCCAGGCCCGACTTCTGCTGTACACCGCCCGTTCGCTTTGGTGACCCCTCCTGAATTATAAAAAAATTAAATGCGAAATAAGACATTTAAATATATCTCAACGGTTTACCAAGCAGAGAAAAATAATATAAAACTCACCCCAACAGCTTTTAGCACTGTCACCAGCGCCGCTAGAAGCAGCACGGCACATTACGTAGTGATTAGGGAGACAGCTCCCGCGATATTTGACGAAGGCTAGGGAAGCCTCTGCAGCTGGCTCTGTTGTCACGCATGGGTTCATGGGAAATGATGTTCAGTTGTTTTGAAGTAAATAATCGGGCTCAACCGAGGTTTAAAAGGCATTAAATGCTTAATATGCAGTAAAGTATGCTATTAAATGTTAAAACGGCTTTTCCCACAGGTCTGCGCACCAGACACTCATGAAGATAGTTGGATAATGAAATTATTCAGAAAATGTCTATGCACACGGTTTCCTTGCCGAGAATGAGAAAACCAAAGGATTCGTAAACATTTTTACGTCTACGATGATACGTTTGACGGCAAGATACTTGTTTACGGTACAATCCCGGAAGTGACGCTATATTTTTTCCTCTCGAATACGAAGTTGCCAACAAAAAGAGGGATTTCTTTTGTTATACATTGTCCTGGTTTAATTAGTCATCTGTCTCTTGAGAAATGATCTAGGAGGGTCCGCTGAGATATGAATATTTGTTTGTAAAACATTTTTGTGCGTTTGAACAGCATAGCCAGCGTAAGCTACAGTACGGGCAAATTTTCGCCTGATCAAACTGGTATTTGGAAGCTTTAGTTTACAAATACGACTAGTCACTTAATAGCTAATGGCCTGTACTTTTGAAAAAGTGTTGGGGGATGCTAGGACCCTCCTGGAAAGGCTGAAAGAGCACGATACGGCTGCTGAGGGACTGATCGAGCAATCCGGGGCCCTCAGCCAGAGAGTGCAGGGCATGAGGGAGGTGGGCAATGCTCTTCCAGACAAGGTAAGATGGTCTCTCACACATAAACGTTGGGTGAAAGTATATTTATATTAGAAGGCTGACTTAAGCCATGCATTAAGGATTTGGGGTTGCAGGTAAGCTTAAAATGACACTCTTCTCTAACTCTACTCAAGTACTTAGACATTTTGAGATAGAAGGTCTGATCGTCCAAAAAAGTACACCAGCCTTTAAAAGCATATTTAAATAATGGGAATTATTTATCAAGAAGTGGAACAGTCATCCAACTAATGCTTAAAATGTATTTTTTACTTATGACATTTTCCTTGTTGCTGCCTTTTAGCACACAGAAGACAGCTCAGAGATTCGGGAACTCACAAAATACAAGCCTCACATCCTTCTGACTCAAGAAAACACTCAAATCAAGGAATTGCAGCAAGAGAATAAAGGTAAAATCCTTACAATGTATTTAGGTATTTTTAGAGTTCATGTGTTTGTCTGTAATTTTTGTCTTCGCCACTGTTTCCGCAGAACTATGGCTGTCCCTTGAAGAGCACCAGTACACACTAGAACTGATCATGGGTCGATATCGCAAGCAGATGCTCCAGCTGATGATGGCAAAAAAGGAGCTGGACACGAAACCAGTGCTCAGACTACACCAAGACTACGTCAAAGTACACCAACTTTCATTGTGCTGTGAACATTCCCAGTCATGTAATTTTCTGACAGAAAAAGGGGTTTGAAGTTATGCTTTCTGAATCTTTTCCAGGAAGTGCAAAGCCAGGTGGAACGGATATGTGAGATGGGCCAAGTGATGAGGAGAGCCATGCAGGTGGACGATCAGCACTTCTGCTCTGTTCAAGAGAGGCTTGCTCAACTGGAGGTAAGGACTGGAATGGCAGTCGTGATGTCAGGAGTTATCATTAAGCTTTTAAAAGGCAAAATCAGTGACTCTAAGGCTTTGAAACAGCTCAGGAAATTAGCATGAGTCTACAAACACACACAAGGCTTAGTGCTGCTAGCATAAAAACTGTTGGAGTTTCTCAGGTTTTCTTGTTTGCTAGTTTCCTGGAGCGTATGGTGCAGCATTAGATTATGAATGAAAATATCTGGACACACCTGAGATCAACTTAGAAACTCTTTGAGATGACTTTCTTGACTCATTCTGGTTAAAATGTTGATTCAATAAACCAAACTCGCATAGATACAACCATCTTGCATGGACTGGTGATAACGAGTAATCTACACGAGGTTACGTTTGGTTATCCGGGCTCTTTCAGATTGAGAACAAGGAGCTTCGGGACCTTCTGGCCATCAGCCAGGCATCTGTGAAGATGGGAAATGAAGAGAGCCACCAGCCATCAACACCAGCAGCAGCAGTGCCCTCAGGCAGTGACCAATGAGTGACCCGAGCAGCTGCAGTCTGAACTGATCAGGTGGAACAACCAACCAAACAGGAAGAGCTTTTTCATTTTTAAGCACAACCTAGATTGCAGAATAATGTTTGTAAAAGTAATTTAAATTCAACATTAAAGCCATCAGAAGCATTTAACTACCAGTGGGTATATCATTATGATAGATATCTTTATGTACAGTAGTTGTGTTTTCACTGCAGCAATGTTGGGAGTGAATTCCTCATAAACGAACGGAGTTTGACTGAGGTGCTTTGGGTTTCACTGGTTTATTTTATATTTATCTAAATGCTGAAGTGAAGCTGAGGGAGATTTATTTTTGTTTAGAATGGAGAAAGGATGAGTTTAATCTTTTAAGAACATAAAAAAGTAAAATGCCCAAAAAGTAAAATGCCTCTGTTTTAAACGCTAACTTGTACACCACGTGTGATGTTGTGTTCATCGCCAAGAAAATGACTATTGGCTGTTTCACAAAACAAAATGCCTGCGCTGGAATGACAGTGGGCAGTTTTTTAAAGAGATTGTAAATTTATAAATGTACATTTTGTCTGCCATAGTTGATTGTTATGCTTACAACATGATAAATACCAGTTTTTACTCTGAATTTTTAGATTGGATTGCAGAGTAAATGTGTAATAGTTGACTGCACATCTTTCTCACGGTAACATTTTGTAAGCATTACTTTTTTGAGTGTTATGTACTTGTGCACTGTTATTTTGTCATGAACTGTAAATGTCATCTCAGGAAATTACTGTTGGTTAAGTGAACATGTTTATGGAAGTGTAATTATTTGTGTAAAATAAAACTCGTTCTGAAAACTAAGTCATATTACCTTATGGTGAAGTTTTTGTTGATAAAACACAAAAACCTTATTTTTTAATTCAGGGTTTCACCGCTAGGTGGTGATTTTAAGCTCTTCTGATTGTGACAATGAGACGTTTGGAAAAACATCGCTCCAATAACATTTAAGTGGGAAAAAGCACCAAAAAACGTTAATTTATTTCAAGGCTTCAAAGTATTTTTATCATTGTCGATTATTTGATAAGATTTCATAAATGACGTGGTGAAATAATGGGAACTGCACCGCCATTTTCTTGTTATTCTAAATTTGGTTTTCACAACTTGAATATTTTCCGGGTGACCTAAACGCAGCACCAGAGTCACATACCTGGAGCGAAGCTAAGTCAGGATGTCTGAGAAGGAGCTCGGTAAAAAGTGGGACCGGTGCCTCGCAGACGGTGTTATTAAACTTGGTAAATGTTTCCAAGTGTTCGTGTGATACTGTTACTTTAGTGTCCTGGAAAAGGGACAAAGAAAGCTGTTTTACTGTTTCACGCAGCTGTCATTGACTGCCTGGAAGGTTGGCTAACTAGCCAGCTAGCATGCTAGCAAATGGCTTGGAAACGACAATGAAGTAATTTGTGAGCTAAACACTATCGTTAATTCAAATTTAAATGCATTTAATTGTGTATTTACCCCTAGATGTTGTTGCATGCTTTTTAGATTCTTCTTGCTGCATGAAACCGGGTACAGACGTTTACTAGAAGCATTATTTATTTAGCAACATTTGCTAGGAGAAAATTGAGTATAGGTTTTCCTCACACATGCATAAACATTGTTATTATGATTCTGTATTGTTTATTACGATCCTGAGTTTAAACCCGCATTTCTAGTCAATGACGACAGGTGGCAGGATTAATCTACTAAAGTAAACCATATTATTTCAGACAAGTGAATCAACACAAACAATGCTTAGTTCCTTATTTCTTACAAGAGAAAATAATAAACTGTAGTAAAATACGCAGTTTGTTTGTGGATATTTTGTGCCGTATAGAATAAATCAGCCAAAAGCCACTGGCAGGTCAGAACTGCACAAAAATCTGAAATCGGTATCGATCCTCAAAACCTGTGCATCTGCAGTTTCCAATAAAAACAATTACCAGTATCTATCAAAGTATGTAACCAGTGCTGTGTTTCTGTGTTTCAGGAACTGGGTTGGGGTTAGGAATTGTGTTTTCTGTCCTGTTCTTCAAACGTAAGTAACTTAAAAATTTTGGCCTGCTGTTTTAACCCCAAAAAATGTTCCTTTTTGAACGTTTTTAATACTTTATCAGCAACCTTTTCAAACTAAACAAATTATTGTGTCTTTATAAACTGTGGAACACATGTCCCTCAACCTCGCCTGTTCTACCGTACGTATGAGAAGGTGTCAAGTATCTCTTATTTGCAGGGCGCACATGGCCGATCTCTTTAGGCTCAGGAGCCGGACTTGGCATGGCCTATGCCAACTGTCAGAACAACTTGAGGTCGCATTATCTGCAGCACAGAATTGAAGCGGTTTGTTTGCTTTTATTAAAACGTAAACTTGCTTAGTTTAATTTATGCAGATATAGAAAACAGAGATAAGTCTCCAGTAAGTACAAAAACTGTCTATGATACACAATAATCTATATTCTCTTTGTATAACTCTGGATTTATGTATTTCTTTTGTTTTTCTTTGCAGGAACAGTAACTGGGAGTCACTGCAATGATGTTATTTTGCTTGTGGGAGTGTCACCATTTGCACTGTTCTACAGTTTGAAACACGCGTCTCTATGGATTGTCCTTCCATAGACCGTATGATTTGTATCTGCATGATCAGGACTCTTTTTATTTAATAAAATCAACATGACCATGAAAAGACTTGATGTGGTGAAGGTTTTTCTTCTCAAGCTTCTTGTTTCAGTTACCAACAACTCAATACAGTGAAATGTATTTATCTACATATCAACTTTTGACTCATCTTCACTTGTCATCCAGAATCTTCTGGCGCTGATCCGTAACTGGCAACAGCGGCTCAGAGCAGACTCGTTTGTTTTGATACATGGACTGCAGTACCCCATTTCACCACAGGATGTCATTCTTACTTCATGCATTGTTTTCTATTCATTAGCTCCAACACATAATTACCTATTCCCATGTAATTAAAACAAGCAGGACGGCGAGCTGCTGATGACCTCCTGCAGAACTTACCAACTTTATATCTGCGTTACACCGGCTGAACTGAAGCAGGCGGGACGACACCTGTTAGACTGCTGCCACACCTGAGCCTGCACCTGTCAGACCTGCTGACCTCTAAGGTGTGCTGCAGTTGCATCAAGTCCAGAAGATTCAAGATAGTTTATTGTCAATGCACGGGTATACGGCCAAATTGAATTAGCGCTCACTAAAGACAGTTCACGTAAGAGATAGTAAGATATAAATTCACACACACAGCAAAGGTGTGTGCCAAGATGTAAAAGTATAATGTGAACATGGTGTAAATGGCTGCGAGCAGGTGGATTGTCAACGTCACTCATGCAATTGTATATAAGTGGGCATTAACCCGGATGTGGACGTGGCGTTGGCATTCCACCTGGCTTGGCGTGTAGCAGCAGACCAAACTTCCACGTGTGTATTTTTGACTAAAATTGATTAAATAAGAACGTGTCGCCCTAACAAGTGCTTGTACATTTTGTCACGTTCCGAGGATGTTAGGACCCAAATATGCAGTTACCCAGGATGACATGAGGCAGAGGTGATGAAAAGTAAAATCCTTTATTTTGAAGGCAGAAAAAAAGTAAATCCAGGCAGCGAGCCAAAGTCCAAAAACTCCAAGGCTGGAGAAACAAAGCTCACCAAGAGCACGAGCAAACACTGACAGAATTAACATACAGATACGTTAATGGACCGACACAAGACAGAGACTATACCGGGCTTAAATAGACTGGGAGACAAATTAAGGAAACAGGAAGCAGGTGTGTGGAGTGAGGGCTGGAGGGAAGGCAGGTGACACTAATCAACTCAATGGGGAAAACAGAAACAGAGGAGGGCAAATACCTAAACACAAAACTAATAAACAATGACCTAAAGACAGAGGGAAGGACTCACACAAACTAGCTGGAGGAGGACATAGCACATACACACACACACACTGAGCTGGGGACAACGAGGCTGGAGCTGACCTGGGAGGAAAGAGTAGAAAAGATAACAAAAGACACTGAACTGACACGCAGAAAAAGGACACATGAGGGTGCCAAAGAGCTACAACATAAGACACATAACAGGGATGCAGACAAGGACACATGAGGGCGCTAAGAGAGCACAAGGGGGGAACCTGGAGTGGAGCACAAGAGGAGTTGGGGAACAAAGGGACACAAGAGGGAATCTAGAGAGGGATGGAGGACACCAGGAGGCACAAAAAGGAAGGGGCTGACGCAGATCATGACACATTTAGTCTATGGTCTTGCTGTGCCAAGCCTCTGCGTGACATAACTTTGATAGCACCCCATGGCAAGAGGAGCAAGGTATTTGTTCTTTGTTTCTGTTTGTTGCTCCTGATGTTTGTCAGTGATTGTCTTTAATTTGTTTGTAAATTATGTATTTTCAGTTTTCACGGTGTTTGCACAGTGACGCACCAGGTGCTCAGTGCGATTCTGGGAATGAGATGGGTGCATCTACAGCCTGACGCAAATAAAAAGTTACACCTGTCGAAGCTCTCCTCCTTACTTCTCTTGGATGCCAAGGGGCAGCAACACATGGTAATAAGACAAGTGTAAATTTCAAACTCAAATATAAAGTAAATGTAAACAGTCACATGTTGGGGTGTCAGGATGAACTAGGTAAACATAACGGTGATATAGTGCACTAATTGTCAAGCAGAAAGAACAAACAAAAACAAACATCCCACTGTCCTGTTCAAAAAAATTATTTATTCTTTATTATTCCTTATTATTTATTATTATTCCTTATTTTTCTTTTATATTTGATAACAGTGCATCGACATAAATTCAACATTCACTTTATGCAAGTATTTTTCCTTTAATATAAAATCCTTGTTCGGGTCTGACTCGTGCTCTTATTGCATCATGTGCTTTAATTTGATTCTGAATTCTGATTCAAACATCACTAAATTAATTGTTCACCTTTGTGCAGTTATTAAAACATATTGGCATCGGCTGGTGGCATAATAATTTAATAAAATTCACACAGCTCCCAAAAAGCTTAACTTTTTGTGAATAAACAATTACAGGAATGTTGGTCATGTCTGCCTTTTGATGGTAAATGACCTGAATTTGTGTAGCGCCTTCTTAGGGTTCTACAACCCCCCAAGGCCCTTCACAACACTGTAGTGCAATGGTTTATGCTCTTTTATGAAAGAGGAACCATCCTACATTTTAATTTGTGATATTAATTTGTAATAAATTAATAACCAAATTTTATAGAATTAAGAAGACTCAAAGGTTGTTTTCATCGATAAACTGACGATAATATCCGTGGGTCTGTGTTTCAGTTCAATGAAGAGAGAAGTTTGAAAGTTAGAAGTTTTAATTCTTCAAATTAAACTAGTGATTTTGAAATGACAAACATAGGAAATAACAATCAACATTGGCAACTTTGTTGGACAATCTTTAACAGTTGATATTTTAAACTTGCTCAAATAGACCTTGTGTTGAATGTGTGAAAATTGAGAATGAGGTGAGATGAATGCGTGTGTGTCTGATTTTGCTTCAGGAAGAAACAGTTGTCTGAGTGAAAAGTGATGGTTTGAATAAACTTAGGTTTTGTTGGAAAAGATGCCTCAAACGCTATCTATTGTGGACTGCCTCACCGACTTAGGACCCTCTTTTAGATCCGGGACGCCACAGGAGGATGTTTCATCCAGGGCACCTTGGCTGGCAGAGGAGACGAAGGTGTCCGGCGCTCCGGTCCAGAGATGACCTCGGTACACGTGATGATAAAGCGTTTGCAGATGCGCTTTCTTAAGTTTAATTTACTCAGAAATCAAAAGACTCGGGACGAGTCTGCGTTAGCGGTTGCAATTCAGCTATCCTGTCTGGCTTGGCAGGAACAGCGTGAGGGGGGGAGAAAGGAGCCGCAGCCCCGTTCCCTGTTGACGTTGTTCACACGTCCTCTCTCTTTCGTTGTCAAACACGAACTGAATCATGAACTGAAAACTTACCAAAAGCCTTTCTCTTCTCAAAGCAAAACGTGTGCGTCAGCAAATGTGTTTTGAATTTACTGTGAGAGTGTGTGTGAGCGAGTGTGAAGGTCACCACTAAAACATCTTCAAAACATTACTTAATTAAACATTGCCTCATTATAGTTATTATGATTAACCAAAGCATAATAATAATTCATTTGATGAAAATACATTTATAATGAGTAAAATGGTAAAATGATTATTTAGCATTAATAAACAAAGGAAGCGTAAGACTCTTTATTATGACTAGCTTTCATGAGAACAACATCTTCTGGCACTGCAGGTGGCAGATGTTATGGTTTGCAGCAGACTCTTGCAGACTTCATTTCGGCAAAGGTCTCACTCTGTGGGTGAAAGTTCTGCGCGACCCAGCTTTGACCCAGCCGGGCCAAGTACAACCTTTGGCACAGAAAACCAATATTTCCTCACGTTACAACACAATCAGTCATTCACACACGCTGGTAGGGGTGAGCTACGATGTAGCTACAGCTGCCCTGGGACACACTGGCGCCACCGGTACTCCCAACCACAACCAGCAGGCAGGACACAACAGCAGAATTCTCTGGTCGGTACCGAGACAGAACCTGCAACCTTCCAATTCCTGGACAAGTGATAGGTTTATTAAATGTTATAGATTAAATTTTAGGCAGATTCATTAAGTGTTAATCATGGGGCAAGTTAAGAAATAAATGAAAACTGACAGACACTTTCATCTATATGTTTGATTAATATCAATTTATTACTGATATTTGGTTAAATCCTACAGTAATTACTGCACTTGGTACTTGGTAAATCAGGTGTGATTAACAATGCAACTTTATTAAGCAACTTCTTCTGGCAGTCGCAGAGTACAGATGCTTCTCTTTTTGCTCCCTTATCTTTTTTTCCCAAGGCTCTTTGTCCTGTCTGCCCACAGAGCGCCTCTCTGCACTTCTCCTGAAAAACCCAATTTTTTAACAATGGATTTGATAAATTGGTCATTCAACGCGATTGAATAACGCGATAAGATTTTTTCAACAATGAGAACGGAGCAGGGGACTCACACTTGCCCGCAAGGGACACACATGGTGGGGTATATGCTGGATTCTTGGAAGGAGTGGAAGATCATATGCCTCTCCCAGCTGTCCATTGAGGACGAAGACGTGTGGATGTTTGGCCTGATGATCACTGGATTTCTCCTGATTGGAGTGGGAGGATATCTGGTTTTCTGGAAATTTTGGAAGACGGGAGCGATTGGAGGGCGACCCGCACCCACGGAAAGCACAGTCCGTGTGGAGACCTTACAGACTGGGACGTTACTCGAGGTGAATCGTAAGCTGGACAATGTTCTAGCTGCGATACCGGTATTAGTGCGCAAAATGGACGTCATCTCTGAGAGGGTCACTGGACGGTATGGACAAGTTTAAAACCCAAAATTGGCTTCACTGGAGGACTGGAATGATCAGTTTAAAGACTGAAGGCAGAGAGGAAAGTTATCTCTGCCTGACCCAAACAAAGTCTTGTTATCCGAATCTGACGCCATAGAGCTCCGGACCCCACGTGACTTTCAGTTAGTGGACGCCATTTTGGCATGCAAAAAAGGTAAACAAACACGGATGTAACCATGAACATGAACGGGATCCGCTTGGATTTTACTTCGTCCGAGTTTACTTCACACTTTAAAACAGAAGAAATCGTTTTATATAGTCAGAAATTAAATAGACTAAACATCTCCGACCCTTACCGTGCCCCTGGGATACTTTTTAAAAACGCCAGAAGTCGTAGCGGACTTCTTACCGGCACAACACCGGACCTGGCCGGGGAAACCCCTTGGGATTCCCCCGGCCGGAGGAGCTGGGGAGAAGGTCTGGGACTCTCGACTCTACTACCCGCTCCGACGCCAGAAGCTGTCGGAGCGGACCGGCACAGCACCGGACCTGACCGGGGAACCCCTTGGGATTTACCCGGAGGAGCTGGCTCCGGCGGCTGGGGAGAGGGAAGTCACGCTACTGCCCCAGCAACCCGACTCCGGATACGCGGATGAAAATGGATGGATGGACGGACAAATAACAGATTTACATGTAAGTAGTCTCGGTGACACAGATAATAGCAATCCAAAGTGCTTTTTATGTGTGATCTGATCAACCATTGCTTAAAAATTAAATACGGCTTAGCCGGTTAATTGCTGTCATCATAAAACACGTAAACGGCAGCACGCAGAACTCACGAGGCAACGTTTTACGTGATGTTTACTTGTTGCTATGAGTAATAAGACAGAAAAAGCCACGCCAAAATAAGTTTAGGAAGCCCACTAAGAATCATAATAAAAGCATTTAAAATAAATACCATACAAAGTTGAGGAAACGTTGGTTTAAGTACCTGATATGAAGCGGTCGCTGCATAAGCGAAAACCTTTACTCTCGGGATCCCACAGCTTCATTTTCGCCCGGTCACTAGCGTGTTTTATTACAATGATCCAACGTTTGCGGCGCTCCGGATCTTGGGGAATCCTGTAGATGTCTCATTCCTTATGTCGTCCACATCTGTTCTGCATCCTGGGGCACAACAGGAATCTACCATATTTCCCGTTTGATTGAGTTTTCTGACAATAGTAAATAGTCCAGCTGCCGGCTTCTGCATGCCAATATGGCGCAGTTTCGATTTGAACTGTTGCATGCCGGGAGAAGTGACGTCAACTCCCGGAGCTCTATAGCAGCCTTCGAGATGCTAACAACAAACCCCCACGAAGGAATGCAGACAGATGCTGTGAAAACCCGACCTACCCCCCCTCGGATTGGCGGACTTCAGCCTGGCGAGGTCATCAACCTGCAGGAGTCAATGTGCTCTGCGCTTCTCCCAAGATCTCCCTCCCACCTGTGGCTACTGTGGCTGAGCGCCGTAGATGGCTGCTCTCGCTGAGGAAACAGGATCCCAGCCCCCCCCCCCCCCCCCCCCCCCCCCTTCCTATTGGAGTATCATGTTATGTTGTGTTGTCTGTTGGTTATCTGTTCGAGGTGGGGTTTTTTTTGCAGAGCAAAGCTGCCCTCCTGGTGGGAGAGTAGCTATGAAGTACCTTTTTTTCCCTCCTCCTGAATCAATTCCTCATGTAAACCCCTCTGATCTCTATTAAGGTAGCGCGACTCAGGTTGCGAATGACCACAGTCACCAATTCTTGTCATGTGTCTTGCACATGTATGTCTGATCTCTGAATTGTGTGTACTGAAACTCTAATTTCCCTCTGGGATTAATAAAGTATCTTTGATTTGATTAATTTGAAAAGTAAATTAAATGTGCAAAAAATTTGACCTTTTTAAAAAAACACATATAAAATGCATGCATTTTATATGTTTTTTTAAAAAGGTCCTAAGAACTTATATATAATATTGGATTTAATCTTTTTTCTTTGCAAAATACTTATAGTGATTTTCATTTGCTGTTATACTTCCCTCTGAAATTAATCAGTCAAATGAATTAAAATACAAATACGTGAGGATATTTAACATTAAAATTCTACTAACAAGGTGTAAAGAGGGATCTGAGTGGAAATATGGACCGCCCAAAAACCTGTCAGATGCAAACGCACTCTTCAGAAAAGCCCATCCATCCATCCATCCATTTTCTGAACCCGCTTTGTCCACGTAGGGTCGCGGGGGGGGGGGGGGGGGGGGGGGGGGGCTGTTGCCTATCTCCAGCGGTCAATCAGGCGGGGTACACCCTGGACAGAGAGCCAGTCCATCGTAGGGCAACACAGAGACACACAGGACAAACAATCGCACACACACACACACACACACACACACACACACACACACACACACACACACACACACCTAAGGACAATTTGGACAGACCAATCAACCTAACAGTCATGTTTTTGGACTGTGGGAGGAAGCTGGAGTACCCGGAGAGAACCCACGCATGCACAGGGAGAACATGCAAGCTCCATGCAGAAAGACCCCAGGCCGGGAAGCGAACCCAGGACCTTCTTGCTGCAAGGCAACAGCTCTAACCACTGCTCCACTGCGCAGCCCCTTCAGTGAAGCCAGATAATTATAGAATGGGAATAATTTGTGCATAACAATGAAAAATATCTTTCAGAAAAGACAATATTTGAAGTTAATTGCTAATTTTTAAAAATAAAGAGATAATAAAAAAAAATTCTTAAAAACAATCAAAAACACTTCAACAGGCTTGTTTTAACACAGAATTAAACCCAGTGTGAGAGGAGATCCTTTTGGTAAAACAACAAATCAGATCTTCATGATCCATGATGAGGCGGCATTAGTTCTGGATGGAAACACTACAACCAAACAAGGAGAAAGCCACCCACACAGTTCCTGTGATGCAGAATTAGCATATCTTGGCTGTGATTGTGCATGGTTATGCATTAACAGCTCAATGCTTCAACACGCTCTTTCTCAGTAGCGGTGCGCTCTGGCTGGCTGGGAGACACGCTGGAGTGTCCGCCACGGGGATTAACAGCAGCCAGGGATGCGGCTTCACAAGGACACCTGTGGAGCACTTGTGAACGGAGCCCCGCTTGCTAACGACTGTTGCAGAGTTTTGTTTTCTTCTTTTCAACTTGTTCTTTTAAAGGACTCGCATGTGAGAGAAGAGCTCCGGCTCGGCAAAAGGAAAAGCTGACAGTCTCCTCCTATGTGAGGAATGTTTTCTGAGAATTTTGCGCCGTTCTCGTTTCCAGCAGGTCACCTCACCGGCTGACTTTGTGAATGCGTAGTAAAAGCTTTTTTTTTGTCTTTGTGCTGATGCGCCTGTCATCCTTGTGGAATGCAGATTAAAAGCCCTCTGTCAGGTACCGAATGGCTCATTCGGGCTCTTAGCCATGGAGAAAGCAGAGACAGGCTGACTAGATAAAAAAAAAAAGCTCTTCTCTGGTGGTGAGCCTACTCCACTTGGAAGCATCCATGCCAGTATGGGGATATTTATCCTTGGAGAGAAGAGGAGTTGGTTGGCTTGGAATCTATTTATTCATTAATATCCCGTAAGTGTGAGTTTTTCCATGGTGGGAGCACCAGTTTGTGGAAGTGCCTGGAGAGATCCCTGAGGAGCTGATTCATTGATCACTGCCAGCCCGCCACCATGACTGACTCTCACTTGTCTGGTTCAGCGGGAAGCTCCAACAGCAGCTCTCCTACCACCAGTGACTGGAACATCACCGGCAGCGGCCCGTGGCTCTTGGCTTTCATGTTGACCGCCATCATCCTGGTGACGGTCTGTGGCAACATGCTGCTCATCGCGTTGGTGTTTGCCCATCGCTCTTTGCGCTGCACCTCAAACTGCTTCCTGGTCTCCTTGTTCTTCTCTGACCTGATGGTGGCCACAGTGGTTATGCCCCCCGCCATGCTCAACGTGCTCTGTGGGACCTGGGTGCTGTGGCCTGCTTTTTGCCCAGTTTGGCTCTGTTTTGACATCATGTGCTGCAGCGCATCCATCCTCAACTTGTGCGTGATCAGCCTAGACCGTTACCTCTTCATCATCTCGCCACTGCGCTACAAGCAGAGGATGACCCCACCTCGTGCGTTACTACTGGTAGGGGCCGCTTGGGGGTTGGCAGCCTTGGCTTCTTTCCTTCCCATTGAGATGAAATGGCACAGTTTGGGCCACGGGAGAGAATATTTACTGATTCCCGAAGCCAGCAATGGTAACATTAGCTCGTTCTCTGAAAAACTGCATCCTGATACCCATTTTCAGGTTTCACCATCAGGAGGTGTGTCCTTTCAGTGCCGCCTGCAGGTCACCTTGCCCTTTGCACTGGTGGCATCCGTGCTCACCTTCTTCTTACCATCCAGTGCCATTTGCTTCACCTACTGTCGGATACTTCTGGCTGCACGGAGGCAGGCGAAGAGAGTTGCAGCACTTAGCCACCCTCTGCATCCGCATCCTTCCCTCGAAGAACCTTCCCGGCCTCCTTCACCAGGGAGGCAAGCTCAGCAGGATGGATACAGCGGCAGCCACCATGGACCTCCTATGTCACAAAACATACCGGTAAGGAAGACTAATCAAATTCCCTCTGGGATTAATAAAGTATTTTTGAATTTGAATTGAATTGAATTGAATCAGCAGAGGGTAGTTTGTATATAGTAAAACCCCAAGTCGGTCCTGACAGGTCATCCTGAGCCCGGTTTTGTTGGAGGTTTCTTCCTGTTAAAGGGGAGTTTTCCTCTCCACTGTCGCTACATGCTTGCTTAGTAAGGGGATTGCTCTAAATTCACTGACACTAATCAGTGTCTCAGTGCAGTGTGTTGGTTTTCATTAAAGAGCAAGTCACCCCCAAATCAACTTTTTTTCCTGATAAACTACATAAATGTGTGTCTAATCGTGCAGCAGACACGTGTAGTCAATAGTTTAGCACTTTCGTGCATTTTAGTTAAAATTAGAATTTTCTGCCTAAAACTGTCAGTGTTGTGCCGTTGTCGGGTAAAAACTCTGCACTGCATTTGAATTTAAATCTGCCTTTGCTATTGGCTAAGAGGTACCCTAGAATGTTAGCTGGTACCATATGATGTCACAATGTCATTGTGAGCCTGTGTGTGTGTCTATATGTTAGCGGCTCTGCCCTCTCTGTCTGCTAGGCAACAGCATTTGTTGCATTTTTCAAACAGGAAGTAGGAGTGGAGCAATACTCTGGTAGGGGGTGACTTGCTCTTTAAAGAGCAAGTCACTCCAAATCAACATTTTTTTTCTGCTGATAAACTATATAAATGTGAGTCTAATCGTGCTGCAGACACGTGTAGTCAATAATTCGGCACTTTAGTGCATCTTAGTTAAAATTTAAATATTCTGCCTAAAACTGTCAGCAATGCACCGTCGTCAGGTAAAAACTCAGCACTGCATTTGAATTTAAATCTGCCGTCGCTATTGGCTAAGAGGTACACTATGATGTTAGATGGTACATTATGATGTCACAATGTCGTGAGTGTGTGTATTTGTTAGCGGCTCCACCTTCTCGGTCTGCTAAGCAACAGCATTTGTTGCATTTTTCAAACAGGAAGTGGGAGTTGAGTAAGAATCTGGTAGGGGGTGACTTGCTCTTTAAGTACGAAACTTTTAGTTAATGGAATGATGAAGTGAACTCAAAGCACTGATAAGTAAGCTCAGCTGGAAGCTGAATTCAATCAAAATGACAAAATGTTTTAAATATACACAGGGCATTCTTGTTTTTGCTAAAAAGGCACCCTGACCTTTAACTAACAGGATTTGAGCTCGGTCGGGAGCCTTGTCGTTGACATTTATTTATGACATAAAAGTTTTCACGCACGCTGGAATTGTCTCGTGCTATTTTCTGCAAATTTATCATTTAAAACTATCAGATAAATCACATTACAATGATCCCTGAAAATACCTTTATTTTTTAAACAATTTATCTGCTTTCTTATAAGAAACTTTGTTGATGTGAAAAAGACCTTGGGGTGCTGTTGAGTGCTGTTACTTAAATGTAGTAGATGCCATAGAGAGTGCATCTCCTGAGTGCACCACAAGATGCAGTGCAAATTGGTTTTCAAGCATCTGTCTGCAAAGATGAGAGTAGTAACAAAATTACACCCTCAAAGGTCACTGACCAGCTCTTGCTTTTTATTTAGTCGTCAGATCTTCCTAATGGAATCAGAAGCCTTGGCAACACTTTACAATGGTGGGTCCCATAAAGTAATATTAGTGCATTATTAAACATTTCTAAACAAAGGGCCCCCTTATTAATGCTGCAGTTATTGTTGTCCTTAAGGTTAGGACGAAGGGCCATGGGGTGTCTGCTTATTAATGCATTACTTAATATGGTTAAGCAGTTTGCCAACTCCGGGCCGGGAGAGAGGTCCTTCCGCAAGTGGCGGAGTTTAAGTATCTCGGGGTCTTGTTCACGAGTGAGGGAAGGAGGGATCGGGAGATCGATAGACTGATTGGTTCGGCGTCTGCAGTGATGCGGACGCTGAACCGATCTGTCGTGGTGAAGAGGGAGCTGAGCCAGAAAGCCAGGCTCTCGACTTACCGGTCGATCTACGTCCGGCATGCCACTAGCTGGATTTCCTACGCCCTTGATGGACCTTAAGCATGAATAGGCTGGCATTAACATAGGAGAGGCTAGCCATTAGCATGTCTCAGAGAGTCACTAGTCAGCTAGTGGCCAGCCTAGGCACGCTAATATCTAGCCTCTCCAATGCTATTGTCAGCCTATCCATGGTAATGGTCCGTCAAGGGGGTAGGAAATCCAACTAGTGGCCAGCCTAGGCACGCTAATGGCTAGCCTCTCCGATGCTAATGTCAGCCTATCCATGCTAATGGTCCGTCAAGGGGGTAGGAAATCCAGCTAGTGGCCAGCCTAGGCACGCTAATGGCTAGCCTCTCCGATGCTAATGTCAGCCTATCCATGCTAATGGCCCGTCAAGGGGGTAGGAAATCCAGCTAGTGGCCAGCCTAGGCACGCTAATGGCTAGCCTCTCCAATGCTAACACCAGCCCGTCCAGGCTAACGCTAGCCTATCCATGCTAATAGACAGCAGAGGGAGTATGTGAACCAGTCAATGACCAGCTGAGGGCTGCTAGTCCCTAGCGTATCTAGTAGTAACGCCGGTAAAGGTGCTATTTCTCAGTAAGCAGCGCCAGCCTCTCAGTTACCGGCGCCAGCTTATCATTAATCAGGTCAGTAGTTTGCTTCAGAATTTATATAGCCTCCTGCTGCTGGGCAGTAGTCTTAATTTTGGCCCCCATACCGCACCATACGGATGCTGCCAGCGCGACCCGGGCGGAGACTGGACAGTGTTTATAAAGTATAGTTTCTAGTTTTCCCCTCTATGGCAAGGATACATCACGCTATAGATCCATTTCCTCTACAGTTACAGCCATATTTCTTCACTAAGGCTAATTAGCTGTGGTAGCCATACTGGATTGAACTGATTCCAAAAGTTATCCAGTTGTGAAAGTGACTGTGTGCTACTACAAAATAACATTTTAGTTCAACATAGATGTAACTGATTGAGTTGAAGCTACTTTTGCATTTTGTTGACCAGTCATGGCAGCCATGATGTACGAACAGGGTTGGTTGGTTGGTTGGTGGGTGGGTGGGCGGGTTGGACGGACGGACTTTATTAATCCCAGGCTGGGAAATTGCAGGGTTCGGTCAGAGGATACATTTATACATTGTTAAAGTTATAAAAACTTTAATATCAACATGAGTCAAAAAACAAATGATAAACTTTAATATCAACATGAGTCAAAAAACAAATGATGAAAAAAAAAATCATTATTTAAGGGGACAAAATGCTCGTCTTGGACGTGTTGCCTCTTGGACTAACTTTGCTGTTTTGACTTTTCCCGTCCGTAGCCGCCTGTGAACAGCGAGCGGCGTCTGGCTCACAGGCAGGGTCGGAGGGCACTGAAGGCCAGCCTCACGCTGGGGGTCCTTCTGGGGCTCTTCTTCAGCGCTTGGTTGCCGTTTTTCATCACCAACATGGCTCAGGTCAGTGAGTTCATTCAAATCTCCACGCTCTTATGGAATAGCTCTCACACTCGTTTTCTTAAACACGGATCTGTGGAGTGTTCATGAGAGGAGTGAAAAACGAGTTCAAAAAGAATAACAACTGAAAGGCAAACAACAAGAAAAACACTTGGATACAGATCTATTTTTGTATTGGACAGCCTGAGCGTCACAGCCTTGCCAAGCCAACGAGGAAATAGATTGGCATTTCAGCTTCATATGTCTGACTCACTCAGCCTAGAAAACAACTCTCTAAAGCACCATTTACAACTGGCATTGTTAATTTGGACTTGATTTTGAACTGAATACACACTTGCTACTCTGGGATGAAACAAGGAAATGCCATGAAGACCGCCAGAAGAAGAAAAGAAGCCTAATCTAAATTGATAATGACACTTATCCTGATTTTCAAGCTTTGGACGATCGAGTCATTTCGACTTCCCATCTGTGCCCTCCTCTTCCTGCTCAACACAGAGACTTGACTGAGTCTATGTGCTCCTTTCTTTTCACACTCAATGTGGTGTGTGAACCCCCCCCCCCCCGTCTCCATCCCATTCCCACCGCCTCCCCGTCTCGTCTTGATAGGATTGGAAGCTCCACTCCAACAGCTGTCTCCTCCTTCACCGCCGTGGAAACACTCTCCGTCCACGTCCGCCATCGTCAGACGAAAAGGAATGAATGTTTAGCGTTGTTGAAATTTTGTGGAGAATGTTTTTAGTTAGCGAGGAAGAAGAGTCTGTCTGGAAAAAATAAGAAAAGTCTGGAAAGGATTTCTGCAAAGAAAAAAAGTGGATGAAAGGAAGAAAATTTTTGGGGTATTTTAAAAGTAACGATAATTCAATTCAATCAATTCAAAAATACTTTATTAGTCCCAGAGGGAAATTGATTGCTGTAGTATCAGAATAATAATAATTATCAAGTCATCAAAGAGTTATTGTATATTACAATGGCTGTTGGCAGGAAGGATCTCCAGTAGCGGTCAGTGTTGCAGCCAAACTGAAGAAGCCTCTGACTGAAGACACTCTTCCGTTGTCGGACAGTCTTGTGAAGAGAATGCTGAGGGTTGTCCATCATTTTCTTGATTCTCTGGAGAATCCTTCTTTGCATTATCTCCTCCAGTGGTTCCGAAACTGCCGAAACTCTGGCTGAGTCCTTGAAAGGGCTTGGAGTTCCTCCATCTTGTTGGCCAGTGATCTCACATTGCCCATTGGGGATCGATGGAAGAGATGGTTTGAATTTCCTTTCTCTGTCTCAGTTTTGCTCCCGTTCTGCATCCACGCTTCTTGAGTTTTAGCTCATTTGGGATTTGTGGCTTCAGTTGAGGTATTATTTCAGCCTTTCCAATGTTAATCGGCTACTCCCGATTGTAAACCAGCTTGTTGCCATGGTTACGCATCATAACAAATGCTCAAAAAGTGAAAAAAGCTAAAAAAAATAGCAGTAAAAATCCTCCAAGCTTCACAGCACCAGAAACAGAAAAGTAAAATGTCCAAAAAATACAGTTTTTCTTCAGAAACATGAAGAAAAAATGCCCAAGAAAAGGCAAAATTTACATATAGTCAACAGAGCTACTCCAACATAAAAAATAAGAAGGATTTATAGTTTACTTGTGACGTTTCTAATATGACTTTGAACACATTTTGACATTTCAAATTTAATGTCCAAAACATTACCAAGAGAAAATATAAATTCAATTAAAACAAAAATATATTACAGTTTACAATATTCATTCAAATTAGTTACTTCTAAGAATCTTTGACTTTATTTTATCTCCAAATTAATAAATTCTAGAATATACCTTAAGCTTTTTCTTTATATTTTATAGTTTATATTTCCATTTTTTCTGCTCCTTTTGGTTCAAATTAAGTAAACTATTTTCTTTTGAAAAGTTAACAGAAATAACTAAGTTATAAAAAGTTACAGGATTATTCTCATCAAATGACTCAAACATTGTGATTCTTTACACTTTTGTACTATTTGTAAATGTCCTAACTTGACCTGTCAGAGATGTGATTCTTAAAATTTTTATTAAATTTTCTTTTTTAAACTTTCTAAAGTTTTTCCGGTTTGCTGCAAACAAAATATCTCGTGGATTTTAAAGCAAATTAAAAGTCTTAAGTTACACAAAAATATCTGTATGATACATTTTATCACCTGTTTAGTCAGTCGGTCGTGGTGGATGGCTGCTCGTACTGATCCGGGTTCAGTCTGAGGTTTCTTCCTGTTAAAAGGGAGTTTTCTTCTCCACTGTCGCTACATGCTTGCTTAGTATGAGAATTGCTGTAAAAACACTACAAGTCACTGACTCGATGCAACCTGCTGGTTTCCTTAGAAAACGTTGAACTGAACTCAAAGCACTGGTACGAAGAGCCTCTATTTGACACTATATAAATAAACCGAATATCTTTAACTGTATTCTTTACTATTTTTTACATTTTGAAGAAAACAGAAAGACACGAGTCTTCCTTTAACACCTGCTCTGTTTTGGACCCTCTTCCTCCAGGCAGTGTGCGAGTGTGTCCCCCTCGTGCTCTTCGACGCCATCACCTGGTTGGGTTACTGTAACAGCACCATGAACCCCATCATCTACCCACTCTTCATGCGGGACTTTAAGAGAGCTCTGGCTAAACTGCTGCGCTGCTGTTCCTCACGATCACCCCGGAGACCGTCGCCGGCGCTCTCCATCTCTCTGCGCAACTCAGGAGAGCCCAACGTCGCCAGCAGCCCCCCGTCACCTCTGGCCTCTGACCCCACTCACCCCCCTGCCACTGCCACAGACGCCGTAAACCTGCTGGATGCGGAGCATGCTGCGATAGAGCTGCCTCTGCTGCTCCCCAATCAGGTGGACACCCTGGGTTAAATAACTGAAGCAAATAAGCTGAGTCAGACAGAAGAGTGATTCACCTGCGTGTTCAGAATTTATAATCCTACTCAATATGAGTTAAAAGGATAGAAAGACTTGAAAATCAGATTTTAAATATAAGGAGACAGCTCAGAAAAGTTCACACATTTCTCATGATGCTTTACAGTTATCAGCGCTGGTACAACAGGCTAATTAAGCTCTCTGGTGAACATGGTTTCCTGTTTCTCTGTGCAGAACGGAGATAAACCGGCTACAAAAGCAACACGTTTGCTGAGCAGCCCCCAGCCATATGGAAACTGTTGTATTATATTCATAGCAACCAGAGTGAAAGGGACGGAGTTGTCACGGATTTTGTAACTAAACCTGCAAGCTGCGCAGAAAGCAGAGGTATCCGACATCGCGGCACTTTTAGACAACAAATGATCTAATTAGCAGTGAACGAGTGTTAAATGATTACATCAGGAAACCATAAAGAAGTGGAATCAAAGCCACTGGTGCAACAGATTTCCTCTAAAAGCTGCAAGAAGGAAATGATTATTGTTTTCTTTGCTGAAAGTTGGGCTGCTTTTTTTCATCCGACTGCTCTTCGATCCAGTGCGAGTCATCCCAGCTCCACGAAACGTGCTCATCGTCCAGGTCAGCCTCCTCTACGCCGCCACACCTGGCGCTAAAGTCAGAGGACACGTTGTCCTTAGTGGTGTCCTCCTCAGAAGGAAGAGACACTTTGTGTTGAACTTGACATTCTGATTCCGTCTCATCTAAAGAGTCTAACAGGTCTGATATATCAGGGATGTCCCACCCGTTACCCGGGTCGTCCTTCTCCAGAACTTCTTCCTGCGTACAAGTTCCAACCATCTCAGCGGGGTTTTGCGTCGCGCCCACACACTGCTCCTTGGTTTCGCTGGGATTGTCCATCGTCCCCGCGGACATTTTTACAGGCAGAGGAAGAACGAAGGAAGCTCCCGGGACTTCTTTGGTGGGAACTCCTACCGCCACCAGGATGGTGTCCATCTGACGCATGTAGTCCAAGTGACCTTTAACCTGGAAACCAGGGTTCAAGTGTAAATCAAGGTGTAAATTTACATTTTGTGAAACTGTAAAAATCATTATTTATCATTAGAACCATTTATGAATCAACAAATGTTTGATACTTATTCTACATTATGTTAGGACACACACCTAGTGTGTGTGTGTGTGTGTGTGTGTGTGTTTTCTGTCCTTGGTTGCTGTATTTACATCAACAGGCCCATTTCCACTATTAGAACTGGAGTGTCTCCATTTCACCCGGCCATTCCAAGAGGATCACTGTCCGGGAACCGATGTACCTGAACTGGGGTCCATACTCAGAAAGGCCCAGCAGAGCCGCTGGGCGGGACTTGTGGTGAACTCACATGGATTGGTTGTATCTCAGTGGGAAATGTCCTTGTGAGATGTGGAAAAGGAAATAAGCAATGTTCACTCATTTTAAAATCGCCTTTTCTAAAATACCAACGCTGAAAAATGTGGCGGAAATCCCCCACAACAATAATTCACAGCGTTTGGTGGTCTCCTACAGAGCGCTGTTTCTTCTGCTGCTTTTTACGTCACACAGATTCTCTCTCCGCCGCCTGAACGGATGTACGGCGTACTTTCGCAGAATTAAACTTTTAATATCAATCTCCATGGATGCCTTGTGAGACTCAGTGATGTTTCTTTATTTAACCAGATGAGTCGATTGAGAACTCATTCTCATTTACAATGAAAACCTGGCCAAGAGGCGGCAGCAACAGACACATAGCTAGCTTTACAACAAAGAACAACAGACAAGACAAAAATGAAGCAGTTAGACATAAAGACAAAGGACTGTTCTCATATACAGTATGTACAAGCAATCAAAACGAACATAACAGTCTTTAAGTACTCAGAAGCAGGCACACTGATCATACCACTGCAATGAATTTTTGAAGGTAGATGATGGGATGCAGGGCGTGAGCTTCAGTGATTCTTACAGCTCATTCCTGTCGTTGGAAGCAGCAAAATGGAATGAGAAGAGGCCAAAGGAGGTGTGAGCTTTGGGAATAACCCAATGTCACTCACTGCCTAAACAGTTGCAGTACGCTGATGTCTTAGCAAAGTCCTGAAAGGGCCGACTTTGAGAGGACCGAGCCGACTATTTTCAGTCGCCGTCCTCGTTCCCAGAAATCTTAAAGAGGAAACGCAGCTGCCGCTCTTCTACCCTGCGCGGTACAACAGGAAGGAGGTGCAACCACTCAAAGTAAACTCACTCGTGACATTTGAAGCCAAACAGAATTAACACGCCCCCTGGTGGTAGGCTTCAATATGCATGTTTTAGCAACATTTTCCATATTAAACAAATCAAATGACATGAAATCCCATACAATACTGAGTCCTCTTGTTTCAATATTAATATTTCCAATATAAACAGGAAGGGCTGTGCAATATGGCCTAAAAGTTCACCTCGATAACGGTACATGGACGATAACTGCATGTATGCACTAAAGATATCCACTAGATGGGGCTGTCCTGTGCATTACGTTGAGTCCCGTTGCCACGTTACTGGAGGTGGGGCAGTTTTTTTAAGGGACACGAACGCCACCAACCTACACACATCTTTTCGTCGTCTTTGTCTTCCTCCGCTTATCCGGGTCTGGGACGCGGGGGCAGCATCCCAACTAGGGAGCTCCAGACCGCCCCCTCCCCGGCCTTGTCCACCAGTTCCTCCGGCAGGACCCCAAGGCGTTCCCGGACCAGATTGGAGATGTAACCTCTCCAACGTGTCCTGGGTCGACCCGGGGGCCTCCTGCCAGCAGGACATGCCCGAAACACCTCCCCGGGGAGGCGTCCAGGAGGCATCCTGACCAGATGCCCAAACCACCTCAACTGGCTCCTTTCGATCCGGAGGAGCAGCGGTTCTACTCCGAGTCTCTCCCGAATGTCCGAGCTCCTCATCCTATCTCTAAGGCTGAGCCCGGCCACCCTACGGAGGAAACTCATTTCGGCCGCTTGTATCCGCGATCTCGTTCTTTCGGTCATTACCCAAAGCTCATGACCATAGGTGAGGATTGGGACGTAGATCGACCGGTAAATCGAGAGCCTGGCTTTCTGGCTCAGCTCCCTCTTCCCCACGACAGATCGGCTCAGCGTCCGCATCACTGCAGACGCCGAACCAATCCGCCTGTCGATCTCCCGATCCCTCCTACCCTCACTCGTGAACAAGACCCCGAGATACTTGAACTCCTCCACTTGAGGTAGGACCTCTCTCCCGACCCGGAGGTGGCAAGCCACCCTTTTCCAGTCGAGAACCAAGGTCTCAGACTTGGAGGTGCTGATCCTCTTCACACATCTTTTAATTTTTTAATGCCAGTTTATTGATATGGGGAAAATGAAATCAGTTAGTCAGAAATTCCGATAACAAATGTTTGATTTATTGCCCAGCCCTATGGGAACGTCAGGCCTGTATACATCAGTGCAAACCCCCCAAAACATCAGACTGGAAGTCTTCCTTCAGGTTTATGAAAAATACAAAAGCTGCTACGGTAAATAATTTCGATGTGTTGTTAGTTAAGCGTCCTAATCCTGTTTTAACAGCCCTGGCTCTCACCCACTATCCTGCCCACTGCATTATCATTTCACACATTTTATCTAACACAATTCTGTTTATTTTATACATGCTGGAGTCTCTGATTCCAAGATTACAAAAATATGAACAAGAACACGTGAAAATACTTTTAAAACAGAGCGGTACAATAACAAGAGACACAGAGGTTGCTCTGACGTGAGCAGATATCTGAGATTTTATATGTATGGTCTGACAAAATCCAATCTGGGTCATGAATCCACCTTAAAAACTTTAGGTTTTATGGTGGAATCTCACTTTGTTATCAGTTGTATGCAGAAGCTATGTCAGACAGTGCTCTTCAGGTGGAATGGGATCAAGAGAAAGTCTGAGATTCTTGAATGAAACCTTCCAGTGAGCATCTGTTACCACGGTAACAGGATCAATACATTTAATTACTTTTCTTTCTTTAGAAAAGACCCCCTGGTTTCCCTAAACCTGGAAAAAGCGTACTGAAAGTGTTTCAGAGCCTTTATTCTGGAGTCCACCTCAGCGCACCTGTATGGAGCTTCAGTCATGTTTTTTATTGGTTCCCTTAAAGGGACTTTACGGACTATTGAATTTTTATGCTCGCGATTGCCCCCTCAGGCCAAAAGCGTAACGACAGCTTCAATAGTAGGCTCGTGCACGAGGCGTGCATGCTGTACGTGCACACTCCTTAATGAAAATATCAGCTGAGACAGTCCCATGTGTGTGTGTGTGTGGCCCGGAGGACAGAGGACAGGAGAACGTGCAGCTAATTAATTAAATAATTTGGTTCTGTACCTTTCTCTTCAGCACAGCCGACAAAGGTGTATGATGGGTCAGTCCTCCTGCATGCTCAGATCATTCCCTTCCCTTGCTTGAAAAATTGTTCCAAAATGAAAGTTGAACCCACATCTTTTTTTTATCTGTGAATTCAATGCCGTTCGGCGAGTCTCAAATAAAAATTTGGGCATCTTACTGTAAAAAAATATACCATTAATGTAACAAAGAAACTAAATAAACTACGTTCACATCCAGAATCAAACCCAGGTCTTCTGCATGGGAGTCTGACGTCTTACTAGGTGAGCTAAAGCACCAGTAACATTAAATGTATCTGTAACATTTATATCCTTGATGACAGCTGAAACAACGTCAAACCAAAGAACGGTTCGAAGCGAAAATGGCTATTTTGTTGCTAATTTGCAGGAAATATCTAGAAGAAAGTTCTACAGAAAGTAGCTAAGGGTCCTCAGAAATGTAGCTAGCTTTGTCAGTAGGCGTTAGGAACAGCGACAAAGTGGAACTACCTCTCTCTCTGCTGCTAAAGCTACGTATAGCAAATGCTACGGGCGATGCCTGAGCGTGAACACGCATGAAGCAGCCTGCTCGACCCGAGCATCTCTCTTTTTCTGTGATTTTACAGAAAAACAGGCAATCACAGTAAAAATGCCAGGGCTCATTCTACAGGACCAGGGCATTGCAGGAGAATGTATGAAGAAGAAATTTATTATTTCTATTCATGTTTTGGCTGTCAAACTTCCATAATGCCCCTTTAAAGAAAATGCTATGGCCTCACATGGTTTGATCCAACAATGAGCACTGTGATCTCTATAACTGATGCAACTTCAAGGACAACGTATTTGCAGCTGTGTACTGTAAAGACTTGATTTCAGCAGTGAAAGTCGAAAACAAGACAAGAGATCAGCTTAATTGTCAAAAAGATTTAGATCTAACAGAGGAGTAATATTTTAGCTGGGCTAAAATATCAGATCAGAAGGGAAAATATTTAAAATTCTACCGCAAAACAACAGTTTTTGTGACCCTTTGATGAAGCCTTCACTGCAGACTCTTTATTTTGGTTGTTTGGTGAGTGTTTTCTGAGTTTGTAATGAAAAGCTTCAGTCACATGACGTCACATATCCAGCTGACGTTACCAGAAAACAGAGTGGCATTACATGAAAGTATAGAGTTTCTGCAGATCTAGCTGGAGGGCTGTTCTCCCGGCGCGATTTAAACCCAGAAATTTCCACGTTACATGCAAGATGAATGAATTGGCCTTGTTCTTTTTTCTATTGTAGATTTTTATTTTAAGAGTGTCAGTGAAACATTGCTGTGACTGGAGAAAATCCAGCTGAGGTCTTATTTTTTCCCCTAAACTGTGTTTGAAAATGCTCATAAAATCTCGAACTAAAAATTTACTGAGGAAAATAAGTGATTGGTTTAGATTTGACTTTTCCTCCTGAAGCAAAAGTTTCAGCGATCCCACACACTTTGGAAGTGGAAGCGGCCTGAATTGTGTGTACTGAAACTCTAATTTCCCTCTGGGATTAATAAAGTATCTTTGATTTGATTGATTGATTTGATTTACCTCTGATATCTGGCGTCCTTTCTGAGAAGAAAAAAACTGAACTGCAATATGTGACTTGTTTTTACAGTAAGAGCAAAAAGCCCCGAGCTACTGTGGACTAGGGATGCAACGATACCACTTTATTCCAAACCGATACGATACCGATACTTGGATCTGAATATTCGCCAATACCGATTACCGATACTGATACTTCTACCACACAAAAAAAAATGCAATGATTTGGAATACAGATTTTATTTTCTTCTCTGCTTTCAACAGGAAAAGACTGTGAGGTAGATAAAAAGTAAAATATATGAATAGAAATCATCACAAAACTAAAATATTAGGTGAACAGAAATGACAAGTTACAGTGAAGCCATTTTCAAGCAACTGCATTGGTATCGGTTAACTTTTACCGATACCGATACCGGTATCGTATCGGTATCCGCACCAATACAGATACCAGCATCGTATCGGTATCCGCACCGATACCAGTATCGTATCGCTATCTGCACCGAAACCGATACCAGTATCGGTGCATCCCTACTGTGGACCCACAATAAAGTCTTGCTCATCCTTTTTCTACACCATGAAAAATAGAGGACGTGTTTACATTTCACAGATCTGACGGCCTTGTGCGTCTACTGGATAGACACAAACAGTTTACAACTTTATTAGGCGAGATGCATTGATTCTGTTTATGTTTTAACGTGATACGGGTGGATTTTATCTTTGAAAGTGTGGCACTAATGCACCTCCATACATTTATAAGCTGACTCACCACAGACGAAAGATCCACGTTGATTATGCGCCGGTCCTGGATGTTAATCGGATGCAGCCCCGCGACAGACAGCTGTGCAGAAGAGCTGCGGTACAAATACCCCAGGAGCCAGTCACCTCTGGCAGGTAGAAAGTTTTATTTTTAATTACTAACCTGCAACAGTTTACAGTAAAAGTACAAACTCATTTTTCTTTACCTGCAGTATCCGTTCACTATCTTTCCAGCTACCACTTTTGCCATTTTCTCCCAGGATTTCGCAGAGCCGTCGACCGGAGCCCCCAGAAGGACCACGTCCTCCACTACTCCTTCACTACCTGAAGATTTAAAACAGATAATTAAAAAAAATAAGCATCAAAATGAAGAGTTTGTGTGTTTCTCAAATCTCGCGTGGTACCTTTAATACTAGCGAGCTCCTGTAGACAGTAGTAGATAACTCGAGCGCCGAGGCTGAAGCCTATGAGGCTGACGGGCCGCTTCCCCTTCAAATACAGACAGAAGACAGGCTCACCATCTCCATCTATCTGAATAGATTGCTCTGGTCTGTAGTTTGTGGAAACGAGCTCTTGTGCTGCTATTTTAGAGGGCAGAAGTTTGTCAGAGGAGTGCGGAGGTTGGAAAACAGCAGGTCTTACTCTTTAATATAAGCAAACGTCTTGTCTCTGATTGGCTAACAGCAGCACAACTCCACTGCTGCCTTCGTCAAACAAAGCCAGAATACTGTAAAACAAGATTTATTGGGTAAAAACTGATGTTTTGTATCTCCACAAATAACACAAGTGCAAATGAGTTCTGCCATGTGGTGGAGTTGCTAAAAGTTAGCTTCTGCTAGCTGAGATGTGCTCTGCTTCCTCAGTCACAGCCCAAGGTGGGCGGGGCCACGAATGCTCATTTCCCCATCTGTTTCCTTTCTGCAGCTAACGCAGACAACGAGGGTTGAAGAAACTTTTAACGTTGGGCATGCAACTTCAGAGCGACCGATCGTATTCGGACAAGCATCACACGGTTTCTCGGAGAACGAGACCTAAGTTACACACAGATTTAAGAGCTGATAGAATAAGAGAAGCAACAGTTACCTGCTGCCTGCTTCTCAAAACCTGTGCCAGATGTTTCCCCACCTCCGCTGAGCGGTTCAGACAAACACACCAGGGGTTGTCGATGACACTGGCTGCAGCCAACAGAGACGCGGGCCACGTCAGAGCCGTCACGATGCCTGAAATTTAAAAAGCAAGGTAAAGGATCAGCGCAGCAAAAAAGACTGCTGTGCTATTTCATACCTGAGAGCACCGTGTACTTCAGGGCCTCCTGGGCCACCATGCTGACCAGCCCGTCCAGCAGAGACGTCATGGCCGAGCCCAGATCCCTGAGGAAGCGCGACTCCCACACCAGGCAGTACTGCTCTCCACACTCACCCAAACTGCACCACGGCGCCTGGAACGAACCTGAAACACAACAGTCGTGCTTCTGAGAGGGAAAACATCGACACTTGAATGTTGAGTGTTTTTGCAGCCGTTGTGTGTGAAGGACTGAGCTGAGAGAGTGTGCTTTGGAGAGGTTTTGTTTCATATGAAAACAAAATGTTAGTGCTATTTAAAAAAAAAAGTATAATTAGAGGTAAGTATAGTTGTAGTTTAAGACCGTTTAGCATCAATATCTGTAAAATAGACTTCGATTTGACGTTGAAGCTATTTTATGAGCATCTTTAAATTAATGTGATATATCAACGTATTAAATTTGACCAAAGCGTTATACCTCTATGGCTGACGTACTCATCACATGCTATAACTTCAAATTATAAATACACTAAATAAGAGTGAAGGAAGACGGGAGATCAACGGGCAGATTGGAGCAAGGTCTGCAGGGATGTGGACCGGTGGCAGCTGGTGGAACAAACCCAGGAACCTGACTAAAACAATCATGCAATGAACAAGTTTTACAGACAAAGTTAATTATCAACCTTACAGATAAACTGATGATAATGCACAAATACACATGCCTACAACGTGAGCCTTTAAGAGCAACGGTCCATAATGTCCATTTTTGTCCTTATTCGCATTTTATTTTGACATTAGCTTGTCTTGAGTTTTCAGTCTCTGTGCGTCTCAATCGATCATGTGCTCAACGCGCAGTACTCACCTCCACCAGTAGGCGACACAAACGCAACACAGAAATTGAATTAGATATCCTGTTTTTGACATTATAATCATATAAAATGAGAACGAATACACACATCTTGCTGTCACAGCGTTATGTATATACAGCAACAATGAGTGAGTGTGAATGAGGGAGTGAGTGAGAGAGAGGGAGGGAGGAAAGGAGACCCTGCACCTTCTAGAATGCTAGCTACAGCGGGTGTATCGGCATTAAATTCAGTGACGCTAGTCGGCCAAAACCTTTCCACTTCTACCTAGCAACCATACACAATTGGTTGTTTACCTGTCATTCAGGGGCGCTTTTCCCAGCGCCTCGGGAGTGGTGATGGTGAGTGTTGGAGAAAACTCACTTTTAATTAGAAACAGCTGCACAAAATGATGTGCAAGTAATTCAGACTGCATTTAGGTGCACACACACAACTCACCAAAACCATCACATTTACAGTAAATAATATATTGCAGATTCTTTATTTACTTTTCAGATTTTCTCCCTTCATGTAAGGAAGGGCAGTCGTCTAGCACGCCCAATGGACGAGCTGCCTCTGACCCAGCCTGTTGTTGATGAACTAAATCAAACGATTTCCCCCACAAATTCTTTATTTAAATGTCATATTTGCAGTTAAACTCCATAAGCCTGACTTACTGAATTTACCACTACAGAGCCAGCCTGTCACTGCAATAGTCAGGTGAAGATGCTTTCCAGAGTTCAGTGGGAGGAATTTAAATTCTTCTATTGCCCCAACACACTTGTTCATCTTGTAGCCTGCAGAAACATAACAGCCAACAAACAACTAATTAAACCAACCACGCAGAGCGCAGGATTTGATCTCACAGGAAGATCTCTAGTGTTCATTAATCTATATCTACATTCTCAAGATGTTAAACTCCTCCCACGCATTATTATTCAGCGCCGTTACCAGTCAGTCCGGCTCCTGCTGCTCCAAACAGAGAGGCCATTATTGCGATGCCAGCAGCTGATCCCAGAGCAGCGGCACCTCCAGCCCCCAGCACAGCGCCGGCTCCTGCTGCCACCAAAGGTGCAGCCAGGCCACCTGTCACACCTGGCAAAGTGATGAGAATCAGAAACCGGCTGTCATAACTTTTTATTGTGGTTCTTATTGTGCATGTTGTCATTCTCTTTATTTAATGCTTTAAATGTTGTTTTATACTTATTGTAGCTATGTTTTAAAAGCCCATCTAATCACAAATGCTGCAAATGAGCTAAAAGCATTTTGCTACAAACACGGGGCTGAAGTAGTTTGTTTATGTCCTCGTATCCGTCTCTGCTGAATAAACGTCTAGAGCAGAAGTTCTAACTGTAAAACTCCTATGTTTTGTATTTCTCCTGATAATCTTCAGGTAACATTTTCATGACCCACTACATATTTGAGATTAAAATTTTATTTAAGAAAAAATTCACTAATTTTTTTGTGATCTCTGTGGAAAAAAAGCTCTGGCGCCGGAACAAGAAGTGAGCCAGAGTCGAGATGAGCCTAAGACGGACATCTCGCCTCTGATTGGCTAACAGCAACATGACTCTACCATTGACTCCATTGACTCTGCAACTTTGATGTTTCATCTCCACCAGAAACACAAGCCTGAAGGAGTTCTGCTGTGCGGTGGAATTGCTAATGCTAACGTTAGCTTCTAATGGCCGAGACGCTCTCTGCTGTTTCCTGGACGCTGAACCCGCAACCGCCTTCTCCGTCTTGAGTCAAGATGGGTGAGTCCATGAATGCTAAGTGACAGCGTGACGTAGATCTGACTGGGTTTTCTAATCAGAGCTTTTCCTGCTGCTTTCTATAGACAGCTGATGCAGAAAATAGGGATAGAAGACTATCTTTACATTTAGCCTGCAGGCGAAACTTTGAGTACCCCGTCATATTTAAAAAATAACAATAAAATGGATTCTCAGTGAACTTAGCCCTTAAAAAGTAGAGAAATATTCACCAATCACAGTTCCTCCGCCCACTGTTGCCAACCCGATGAGGAGGTAACGCCGTAATTTCCTCCCTCTTTCTCTCCTCAGGCGCCTGGAGGACTCTTCTCTTTTGGAAATAAAGTAAAACAGATGATCTGCAGGAGTTAAAAGATTTATTTTGCATTTAACGTGTGACTCTTGTAATCCCTCTAAGCTAGGATGTGTAAAACAAAAGCACTATTTGTTTACAACACAGATCTATATTTAGGCCATCGGTAACTTTGGTATGAGGAGACGAACGTGACTGCTCACAGCAAGCTGCGTTTTTAACAGAAAATAAATGTGTCGTGCATTTTGAATGAATCAAATCTTCCACGGCTTACTCGCTCTCCTCTCCTGCTTCCCTCAGCCGTTCTCCCAACGTCTCCTCAAACTCCTCCAGCTGCTGCAGAGAGACTCGGAGCAAACAGCTAACGTGGCGGATGAGAACCCTCGCTCTGGAGTCATATTGACCTGATCACGTTACAGATCACAATGAGACAACAAGCTTTTCAAAAAAAAAATCCACACAAGTCTCTTGTTTTACAAAGATTCTTACCATCCTTGACAGAAAAGGACACCAGATCCTGTGGTTCAAACGGATAGCTGGTTAGATCAAGTTTGCAGAAATGCATGTGAGACTGTTGACACGTAAGACACTTTCAGTGTTTTGAGCCTCTTTTCAGATACCTGCATGATAGGAGTAGCTCCTGAAGCCAGCAGGGGATCAGCCTGAAGGATGGAGAGAAACGTGTCTGTGCCCTCGAAGCCCAGACCTGACAAAAAAGCCCCCATAACGGGAATCACAGACTCGTCCAGGTCCAGCCAGCAGACCAAGCCCTGCAAGAACTTCTCCCTGAAACTCCTGGAAAACAGAAAACAAAGTCTTCTTCATCACAGAGTCTCTGATGGTGAAACTACCCAGAATGTCAGGGTGACCTGATAATCTTCCCACTTGTTTTCAGAGCCACCAGACAACTGGCCCAAGGAGACGCCACAGATTGCAGCAAAGGCAAATCGGCTCTGTTCGGCTAACCGTCTGCTGATCATTTTCTCTGGGGCATCTGATTCTGCTCCGGCTCCTCCAGGGTCTGTGGTGGAAAACAGACAAAGCTTAACGATTTGAATCAGTCGCAACAGAGAAAAGTAGCATCTCACTCCAGGCCAGGGATTTCCAATCCTGGTCCTGGAGGGCCAGCATGTTTTAGTTGTTTCTCTGCTCCAACACACCTGATTTCAATCAGCAAGTGAGAAACAGGCTTCTGCAGAGCTCATGAGCCGCTGAACAGGCGAATCAACTACTGAATCAGGTGTGTTGGAGCAGCTAAACAACAAAATCAATCAGGCTGGAGGATCAGCATTGGACACCCCTGCTCTGGTCCAAACTTAACCCAGAAACTTCAGAAGGAGGGTTATAAAATATAAAAACATAATAATTAGAAAATCTTTAATGCCGAATTTACAACAAGACCACAAACTTTAAAGTCAGTCCGTTCTGTTTGATTTTGCACAACTTTATTGCTGCAAAATAAAGTTTAAACAATAAATCACCAGAGTTTTGAATGGGCTTCTTTCCCATTAGTTCTAATCTCGCCCAAAAGCGAAGAACTAGATTACTGTCTAACTTTATATCAACCCTCTGATGGGCTGACCTGGTTTCAGCTCGCCCAGGCTGCTCAACCGTGACCCACATAGCTGGTTTTGAGTTTGTCTAAAATATAGATGATGTTAATAATTTAGCACGGTTAACTATTGTATTAGTGGCTACAGCTGTCTGATAGTTAGTTAGTAAACAAGCTAACGGTACTGTTTTAACTTTTAACGAGGTGGCTAGCTTAACTTCTTGCTTTACCGCACATATAAAGGAGTGTAAAAAATAACCAACAGAGGAAATCCCGCTTTACCTGGTAAGAAATCGGTTTCGGTACCGTTCCGTTTTTCCTCCATTTTTGTGGCTGTCACAACTGACTGACTGAACTTTTGTTGCGTTCAAGTGTTCAACTCGAGGCCGGACATTACAACGTTTAATTAGGTGATTTCCCAAACTATCAATGCATCAGTTATATTACTTTAAACAACACAAAATAAGTACATGAAATACTTGTTAATGAAGTTTAAAATGCCTTTCCTGTTGTTATTAAAGTTATTTTTATCGTTACTTTCCGTCCAACAATTAGACGGAAATTATTTTCGAGCATTTTTAAACGCACCACCAGAAAGCAGGATAAAAGTGACGTAACTTCCACGTACTATCTCAGCGGGTCAGAAATCCTCACGTGTGAAAGTTTTATACGTCAAAATAAGAAGAATTTTTAATATAAAAGTTGCACATTTGGTATAATTGGACCAAGAAGGATTCATCATTTCACACTGATGCCAGAACCCAAGTATCCAACAATATGAGTAAAAAAAAATCTGTCAAAAAGAAGGAAACTACTGAAATCCTGCAGTGTTATGCATCTGTGGCCAGTAGGTGTAAGTGTAACTCTTATTTTGCTGCCTTTGTTTTAAAAGGTCTTTCATTGTTAGTGAAAGTGCACACTCCGTAAACTTTTATTTTACCCACCATTATATATGTAAGACAATTGAAGTGATATTTAGACGAAACATAAAAATGTGTTTTTTAAAAATTACCCTCCTGCTGTCCACAAATTTAACATTTGTCTGGAAAAACTGAAGACTTTGCTTGTGACGTCTAATGGATATTTATCAAAATAAGGTTGCCTGCCTTTAACCAAGGACACTTTTTAAAAGGCACATTAGAATTTGTTATGAATGTGGTATGATTTATTTGTGCCTGTTTAATTTTAGAATGATTCTAAATTGTGAAAAGATTTCCAACAGGAAAGAAAAGGGCAAGACATTCATAATAAAACAACCCAGATCTAATACACAATTTACTATAAAAAGTTGTATTTTAGAACAGATCAGCGTTTCAATTAAAATTATTAAACGTTTTTTTTAACTAACAGATTATTATAGGTTAGCATGTCACATTATAATAAATTCGGTATGGTATACACTCACTGGTTACTTCATTGGGTACACCTTAATAGTACCGGGTTAAACCCACATTTGCCTTCAGAACTGTTTTAATCCTTCATGGCTTGAACAAGGAACTGGATTCGTCAGATTTTGGTCCATAATGACATGATGGCATCACGCAGTTGCCGCAGATTTTTTTCGGCTGCACATCCATGATGCAAATCTCCCGTTCCACCACATCTCAAAGGTGCTCTATTGGATTGAGATCCGGTGACTCTGGAGGCCATTTGAGTACAGGGAACTCACTGTCATGTTCAAGAAACCAGTCTGAGATTATTTGAGCTTTATGACATGGCGCATTATCCTGCTGGAAGTTGCCATCAGAAGATGGGTGCAATGTCATCATAAAGGGATGGACATGGTCAGCAGCAATACTCAGGAAGGCTGTAGCGTTGCAACGATGATCAGTTATTACTTAGGGCCCAAAGTGTGCCAAGAAAATGTCCACCACACCATTACACCACCACCACCAACCTGAACCGTTGATGCTAAGCAGGATGGATCCATGCTTTCATGTTGCTGAGGCCAAATTCTGACCCTACCATTCGAATGTCGCAGCAGACATTTTTCCAATCTTCTATTGTCCAATTTTGGTGAGCCTGTGGGAATTGTAGCATCAGTTTCCTGTTCTTATCTAACAGGAGCGGCACCCGGTGTGGTCTTATGCTGCTGTAGCCCATCTGCCTCAAGATTCGATGTGTTCTTCTTCCGGCTCTTGGAGAGTACAGACGCTTTTTTTCCCTCCTCTCCTCCCTATCTTATCCCATGGTTCTTTGTCTGTCTTTGGGTGGACGGCGCTTCTGCATTTTTTCTGGAAACTGGAAACTGGAAATTATTAAAATGGACCGGGTCAGTTGGTCTCTCAACACGATTGACAAAATTTTTTCAATGATGAGAATGGGAGAAGGGGCTCCCGGTTGTCCCTCTGGGACAGAGCCAGCTGGGTATATCATGGACTCCTGGAAACAGTGGAACCTGATCTGCCTCTCTCAACTGTCTGCAGAGGATTCTGAAGACGTCTGGATATTCGTGGTGTTGGTGTCATGTTTCCTGCTTTTCGGCCTGAGTGGTTACCTGGCTTACCGGAAAATTAATGAGCTGTCGAGGAATATTGGCTCAATCCCGGAGCTCAGGGATGGATTACACCGCGCTGTGAATGCACAAACTCATATAATTCTCGAGGTGAGTTGTAAGCTTGGAACTTTGGCTGATTCAGACTCTGGCACAGAAGGTTGATGCCATCAAGGATAGAGTTGACGGATCAGCGCGGATTGGGATAGATTAATAACGCTATTATTGAATTCAGAGAGGTTGAGGACCAACAGAACTTTAAGACAGAGGAAATTATCTCTGTCTGGCCCCAAAACAAGTTTTTTTCTGAATCTGGTGCCCTTGAGCCTGTGAGGCTGAAGTGAATACTCCCCCCACAGAAGAAATGTGGAATGCTGCCGTCGCCATGGCAACTCTGTCTCCCTATCCCAGCCTGGGCGGGACTGCGACCGGTGAAGGCTGCTGAATCGTTACAGGAGTCACTGTGCTCTCTAACCCAAATACCTCCCTCCCCTGTCCAAACGGAGGTGACGAGCCCTGCTTATCGTGGCTGCATGCACTGATGTGTGGAGAGTTCCCAACCCTACCACCCCACCTAGTGGACACTTATGTTGTGTTGTCAGAAGTCTGTTGCATATCTGTCTGAGGTGTTCTTTTGCATAGCAAAGCTGCCCTCCCTGTGGAGGGTAACTCTGAAGTGCCTTTTTTTCCCCTCCACCTGACCCAATCCTCATGTAACCCTCTGACCTCTATTAAGGAAGCGCGACTCGGGTTGCGAATGACCACAGTCACCAATTCTTGTCATGTGTCTATGTCTACAGTATGTATGTCTGATCTCAGAATTGTGTGTACTGAAACTCTAATTTCCCTCTGGGATTAATAAAGTATCTTTGAATTTGAATTGAATTGAATTTGAGTTTTGCGTTCAGACATGCTCTTCTGCATACCTTGGTCGTAACGAGTGGTTATTTGAGTTACTGTTGCCTTTCTATCAGCTCAAACCAGTCTGGCCATTCTCCTCTGACCTCTGGCATCAACAATGCATTTTTGCCCACAGAAATGCCGCTCACTGGATGTTTTCCAATTTTCGGACCATTCTCTGTAAATCCTAGAGATGGTTTTGTGTGACAATCTCAGAAGATCAGCAGTTGAAATACTTCCATCTGGCACCAACAATCATGCCACGTTCAAAGTCACTTAAATTACCTTTCCTCCCCGTTGTGAAGCTCTGTTTGAACTGCAGCAGATTGTCTCGATCACGTCAACATGCTCAAATGAGTGGCCACCATGTGAATGGCTGATTAGTAATTTGCAGTTAGACCGGTGTACCCAATAAAGTGGCCAGTGGGTGTATTCTAGATGTCATGGTATCATGTTGAAACTGAATGATTCTGTAACAAACTACTGAGTGTTAAATTGTGATCTATGAGAAGTTGATGGAATTATAGATAACTATTTTTGTTTTAATAAACTTTAGGCAGCTGAAAAGTACAAATATGTATTTATGTTAGCATATTATACTTTGATTTTTGCTGTAAAATATAAATAAAGCTATTTTACATCATGTGAAAATAATGGACAATTAATGTGTCAAATCTCTGCAAAATAATTAAATATCAAGGAGTAAAGGAACCAGAATAACAACTTTATATAAAAAGTTGCAATGATACTCAACAATCTCGGTTCAGCTGATCGGTGTTCTCATTGATATTTCCTCTTTAGGTATTGTTTGTCTGCTCCTCTTCCACTCCCTTCCCATTTGCTTCATCAGCTCTTCCTCCTTTATGTTTTCCAGTTTGAATTCTTAGCAAAAGACCGTGAGACCAAGCCTAACGCCGGAAAAGTGTCAGAATGTGTGCTACACCTCCAACCGGCTCTCAGCGTGGAAGAGCAGTCAGAACAATGTGGGTTCTTTGTCAAAATAATATCCTGGCCTTGTCACGTGGAAATCTGCGAAACCTGCGTGAGCTGAATTCATCCGTTTGTGAAAGGCATCCTGTTTATACAGCCTGCTGAAAACACTCAAGAGTACCATAAACAAGTCTGTATCAGGCAAAACAACGGCTAAGTTATTAATGATCTGCTGCGTTAATGTGTTTACTTATTATCCCTTATTTTGTATATATCTACATCAATTATTTGTGAAAATTAAGACATATTTAGCTTTTTTGACTAATTGTAACAAGAGAAAACTGTTCTACCCAAAACTGATATTTCTGAAATGTTAGGATGTTGGAGAGGTGTAGTGGGAAAAGCACACACCCCTGAGGAACACTTGAGTTGATTGTCCAGGAGTTGGATGCAAATTTCCTCAATTTTACACAGTAGAAACATTTTTCAGTGTTTTTCTTCCCTTTTTATTTATATGTTTTATCTGTGCTGTGTTATTTGGGCTGCTGTAACTGCATTTGGTGCTGGAGGATTCAATCAAAAAGGGAAAACCTCCAAAAGGTTAAACTCTGAATAACTTTTGGTGTTGAAAAATGACAAGCAGTGATGGAAAAGATAAAGCAAGCTTTAGTTGTGGAAATTTGCCCCAGGTTGAATTTAATGTGAATGAAAGAGATTTCATGTTTTGTTGCAAGATGTTGATGTTTTCCCCAAAACTTTAGCAGCGTTAATGACAACTTTTACATATATTTTCACACTGTACGGGCGTGGCGCCGGTTCCTGGCTGTCATCCACCCGGGGGACTCCAAGACAACAGGAGGCGTGGAGCCATGAAGAGGGTTATTAGATGATGTCAGCAGACACCGGGTCACTTTTTGGAGATAATCCAAATGCAGATTTGTTTTCTGCTCTGTACCATTTCTCTACTTTTCTATATATGAATCAAGCCATCACTGCCTCGTTGTTTTTATTGACGCACAGCTGTGGTAAAGTTAATGTGATTCCCATTGAGCTCTCCAGGCGTCTCTCACCTGTGAGGGGATGAACCAGAAAAGGCGCCGGGCGGGGTCCTGACCTGTGATGCAGCCCCAGCGTCTTCTCCTCTCACTTAAAATGTCAAAACATGTCTGATTAGTTTTCAAGATGTTTTGTTTAAATTGATGCATTGTCATATTTTATTTAGTTTAAAATGTAATAATGCATGATGGGAGAAATGTGATGTTAGATCCCTTAAAATGGTTTTGTTTGGTTTTTTTCCCCCATCGATATCAGATTATGTCTGTATCAAAAATTAGGTGTTTGTCCATATCGATGCATTAGAAATCTGTAACAAAGCTGACACGGGACATCTCCAATCTCACGGTTTTCAACCTGATGCCAACATTTGAATAGTTTTCTGTCTTTTTCAATTAATACCTTTTTCAGATCAAAGCTGAAAACATCAATCAAGGAAAGTGTAGAGATGAACAAATCCTAGTCATAGTTAAACATTTAATGAGTTTTAATCTCACACAAAGTCCTGACTGTGGCTGCTGAGGTAACTGGGTCAAACGTTTAGAAGACTAAACTTTGCATTCATTCCACTTGACAAACTTGTGATTTCAACACTTTTACTCAATTTCATAACATTTGGTGACTTTTGAACAAAAATAAACCAAAATCTCAATCCTGAACCTTTTCTTGTTGACCGCCCCTGGCCTACAATCGATCTTTCCTCCTGTACCTGAGGTGTGTGTGTGTGTGTGTGTGTGTGTGTGTGTGCGTGCGTGCGCGCGCGCTCGAATGGGCATGCTTCTGTGTACCTGCATGCATGTGTGTACATATGGATGTGTCTCTGTGTGTGTGTGTGCGCACATGCTTGTGCGTACCTGCATGCGTGTGTGTGTGTGTGCACATGCTTGTGCGTACTTGTGTGTGTGTGTGTGTGTGTGTGTGCACATGTGCATGCTTGTGCGTACCTGCATGCATATGTGTACATATGGATTTGTGTGTGTGTGCACGCACATGCTTAGGCGTACCTGCATGCATGTGTGTGTGTGTGTGTGTGTGTGTGTGCACATGCTTGTGCGTACCTGTGTGTGTATGTGTGTGTGTGCACATGCATGTACGCACAAGCATGTGCACACACACACACATGCATGCAGGTACGCACAAGCATGTGCACACACACACACATGCTTGTGCGTACCTGCATGCATGTGTGTGTGTGTGTGTGTGTGTGTGTGTGCACATGCTTGTGCGTACCTGTGTGTGTATGTGTGTGTGTGTGCACATGCTTGTGCGTACCTGCATGCATGTGTGTGTGTGTGCACATGCTTGTGCGTACATGCATGTGTGTGCGTGTGTGTGTGTGTGTGTTACAATATATTACTCATTGAAAACAAACCTCCAGCCAGACAAGTTCAAACACACCACCCCTCCCGTCTACTCTGATAGCATGTCGCTAACAGACAATGTCCGACTTCTTCTCCTTTCTGAGCCGAGTGACACCGAGCCCGAGTGGACTTGGTGACCCCACAGAGAGGTGTGTTTGTGTATTTACACTGAACAAAAAGACCAGGAAGTGGCGGGATAGATGAAAGAGAAAACTGAAACTTTGTCCCTCAAAGTGAAAGATGCAGATTTAAGTAGGGGGGTGGACGAGCGGATGTGGATGACAGGTGATTGTGTCAACAGGCAGGATGGGCAAGCCCGTCATCTGTCTGTCTGTCTGTCAAGAGATGCTGGCTGATCATCACACCTGGTGGGAGTGCTGGAGTAAGAGTTTGTGATTTTGGCGTCTCGTTCAGCTGACACGGCTCAAGTTATCACAGGTATATGTGTGTGTTTTCTTTTCGCGTGTGTTCCCTGTCAGAACAAGCACATACAAGCGGCGGGGTGGATTTTCTCATTTGATTGGTTGCCAGATCCTCCCTAAACTCAACCTGCCCTAACAGATCAGAGGCACTTGTAATTATAACACATCCCTGCCTCTCCGAGCCTCCAGACATACCACAAACGTGACTTCAGATGGACCTTTTTTTGGCAGCCGTGGACCCCGGCCTTGCGTGTTTGCATCGAGTACAGATCATGCTACAGATGCGTTGCTAAGCGTGGAAGGCAGCTGGGAGCATTAGGAAGAAAGTGAGATGCAAAACGGCGGGGAGTCACTGAAGGGAGGAGAGAACAGAACAGCCAGCTGTTTTCCATGGTGGTCAAAACGCTGAGTGTAAAAGTAGATGGTGATGGATCATAAAATAGAGCAGATCTATGAAAATCTGATGTTGTGCTAGCTGTGTCTGGCTCGGATCGTGTTTGTGGAAGTGTGAGAAATGCCTGCTCTCCTTCCCACAAGCTGCATGAGTGGAGCCGGCGCTCGGAGGACTCTGACATGGATGAGTCACAGCCACTGACCTTTTTCATGTGGTTTCTGAATAAGTGGAGCTCCAGTGCTCCTTGGTTTATGGCGAGCAGCGGAGCCTCTTCGAGCACTTCTAGCCATTGAATTGAAAGTCCTTTTGCGCAGAACAAAAGAGCACATGGGGGCAAACCGAGGCTGTGAAGGGAATGTTTGGATGAACTTTTGAGGGACAAAGCACAATTTTAGCTCTCAGTCTTTCTCTTTAAATGTTCTGGAGGCTTCCAGCGGAGTCCTTCCTGAGGGGCTTCAGCCTCATTAGTCAGACCTTTTGTGCCGGTCAAACACTCATAAAACAACCTCTCAGCCAACTTTAGAAACCAATGCAAACGATGTTAGCTCCTGATCTGTTTGAAATATAAGTTATTTAAATAAATGGAGCTCATTTTTCCAATCACCAACACAATATGAGCATTGTTCGAGCATCCATGGAGAAAACGTCCATGGAACCAGTTTGAACCAGAGGCTCTGTGACATTTTACTGGAAACTTGCAGTGGGTGTTGGCCTCACCCTTACGGAGACTCAGTGTTTGTTGATTATCTCAAAACAGATGTTCTAATGATCGAGACGAGCTCTAGTCGCACCCCGATTTTGCTCCGAGACAGCGAGCAGACTCAGGAGCTTCTGTCCCAACTAAAATACACACTTTGATTTATTGTGTGAAAACAGAATCCTGCCCCGAATCACTTGTGTTTAACACAACATTTTGAATTTGTTTAGTGAAAGATGAGATTAGATCGAATTCCTTGGAGGATTCCAGGAAAACCTCGAAACTTCGGCATCTTAAAGAGCTGCTGCTTCCTCAAGAAAACAGACCAACAAGTGTTGAAACATGAAACCATTTACAGTTTAAACCATAGGAAACACTTTTATGCAGCTCAGCAAACAAGCCCCGCCATGCAGAGGGCGCTGAGACAGGAAAGCACCACTGACGCACGACCGGAGGTGCGAGTCGCTCAGGAAAGCCGTGGGTGCTTTTCTGCACATCCCATTGATGGGAATTCCCTCCTTGCATGTATTTTTAGTTTAACTGATGATCTGTGTGTCAGAATTCCCCAAACAGGCTGCGAAGATTCTTCCCGGTTGCACAGAACACTTGAGCCACTCGACTGAAAGGTTTAAATGCTGATTATTTGGCACATATTCAGGATCCTGTTGGATCCATTCATCACTCTCGTTTCCCTGTCGGATCACACTTTTTCTTGTCCGGTGTTTCAACAGCTTTTTTAAAAGAATGGAATAGGCCCAAGAATGTAATTTTCATTTTAGAAGTGTGTGTGTGTGTGTGTGTGTGTGTGTTGGGGGGGGGGGGGGGGATTTTACAGTATGCTCTAATGGGAAACGGGCTTCAACACAAACGGTTGTTGTCGGCTTGGTCCTAGAGCTCAACCAGTGTCAATTTAATATAGCGTGATATTGTTTTTGGATGGTAAAAAGTGCAGGGGTCAAAACTTGACTTTGGAAAAAGTGGGGGGGACATGTCCCCCCCCCCAAAAAAAATTACATCCATGAGTAGGCCT